CTTGTTTTCCCAGAGGCAGCTACTTTCAACCCTGGGGCTCATTCAGCTGCTGTTTACTCATGTCTCCAAATAACATCTTCTGTTGCTGCTTCCTGACTTTTCACTTTTGGGTCTTCTTTCTGACCACAGTGTATTAAAACAGTCTGTGTATCTGTTTTTCCTACCAGCCTCAGAGCCTTCTGATGGCTCAGATGTTGAATTTCTTTTCAACACCTGGTGGTGCTCTGTCAAGATTCAGTAAATGATGAATGTGAATGAGTGTGTATATGATTATGTGAATGAATAAGGTCACCTTGTCTTGGACTCTGGTCTTCAGTGGTGCAGTTTCAGGCATGTATTCCTTAGCACACTGAGGTGACAAGCATCACAAAGGCTATTTCCCCATAATCAGTCCCATTGTCGATGTACTGCTGGATACCAGCGTACTGTAAATTGAGATCCGTAAGAATTGATGATTTTAGCGAATGCCCTACAAATTTGTGGGATGTTTTATAACATTCCTGATTTCTTTTATAATTCTTAAGTAAATCTTTTCATTAACTGAAATGATTCTGGACCCGGTTGAATAGTTACCTGTTTTAGAGTAACAGGTCAGAACAGTTTTCTTTCTCCATCATTGAATACATCAGTGTCCTACTTCATGCAGTCTTCCAACTATTACACCTATTTCTTCTTTAGGCCAGCATTGAAACGGGCGATCGTGTCTGGAGGATGCCTCTCTTTGAACATTATACAAAACAAGTTGTAGATTGCCACCTTGCTGATATTAATAACATTGGAAAATATAGGTATGTAAAAGGAGCTATGAAAGTACATTTCTACAGTCATTGGTTACCAAAATGACTTTAAATTCTATGCCCTTTCACAGAAGTGTAGCCAATTCCTTTTTGATACAGTGCTCATAAGCACTAATTTCGAACGTCTTTAATTTTCAAGGTATTTTACATCTGGTGCTCAAAATTTTGCATGTTTTCACAGCTGAGTCATTTTAAACAAATCATAAGGGAAAGAGATGAAAAACAGGTGAATTCATTACCATGGGGAGGAATCTAGAATTTACCCTTTATTGCTTAAAGCTATGTCTGAAAATAAATATTCTGAAAGTGGTTTTTGCGTTACGTTTTAATCTCATAAACTTGACTTTTGCTCTCTGGTCGTAGAAGCTAATTAGCAAGAATAGAGGATCTTAATGAAATGTTCATTGCACGTTTACATGGGGTTAAACAATGATTTTTGTCTTTCTCTTCAGGTCTGCGGGAGCATGTACAGCTGCAGCGTTCCTGAAAGAATTTGTGACTCATCCTAAGTGGGCACATTTAGATATAGCAGGTGTGATGACCAACAAAGATGAGGTTCCCTATCTGCGGAAGGGCATGACTGGGAGGCCCACAAGGACCCTGATAGAGTTCTTGCTTCAGTTCAGTCAAAACAGTGTTTAGTTCACATCCTCTAAAACTCTCTCATTCTGTTTTAAATGGGCAGTTGAGCCTCAAAATATTTTTGAATGGATGAAAATATTTCAAAAGAAACAAAGGGTGGTATTTAAAAATGTAGAACAAAAGAAAATTTGATTGCCTTGATTTGTTCATTTTATGTAGAGATTTATAAAGGTAAAGCTAATCTCTTGCTTGGCAAAGATTTTTAAGATATTCTATAAATGATCAAATGTTTAAAAACTACCTGATTAATTTTCAGAGTATATGTTTTTAATTGAGCAAAGTTGTCCTTTAGATTTGTGATGCGAGGAATAAAAGGTTACTATGCAACTGTCAGAAATAATAAATCAACTTTTTGTGCTTTCTGGTGTGGCTCTACTATTCTGTATTACTGTACACTTAGTAATAGCATAACTTGTCTCTTTTGGCTGTGTTAGGTGAACTAAGTAAGATGGTACAGCATTTTCTCAATGTTAATAATCACTTTAGGGCACTCAGCGATGAGTTTATCAGTTGGTGAGGTAGGTGCTATTATCCCCATGTTAACAGATGGGGAAAATAGGCACCAGAGAGAGGGTTAAGAACATGTCAACAATGTCACCAAGCTACTAAGTGGGAGAGCAGAGATTTAAACAGGAGGGAGCCTGCCTCCAGAGCTGGCTTCTTAATTGTTACACTGTAATGCTTTCTGTCAGTTCAGTGACTTGAGTGGATGTGGAATATATTTGAGTTAAGGAACAAGACCAATAAAAGAGACTGTTCATAGGTAAAGTATTTGCTTACCACCTGGGACTACAACCAATCAACAAAATTCTACTTATGCAGATTTAGGACAAAGCTCTTCTCTTTCTTTCTTTTGTATCTAGGTGAACAAATTACCCCTGAGTTGGATCTATCTATACTTTTTTCATTTTTTAGGACTGAACATTTGATAAGAAACCTGTTCATTGGAGTTATTTTTAATATTTTATTATTTTTTAAAGGTTTATTTATTTTAGAGAGAGAGTATACAGGGGGCACGGGCAGAGGGACGGAGAGAGAATCTCAATCTCAAGCAGACTCCCCCCCCCCCCACCCCCCCGAGCATGGAGCCTGATACAGGGTTCAATCTCACAACCCTGATATCATGACCTGAGACGAAATCAAGAGTTGCTCACCTAACCGACTAAGCCACCCAGGCACCCCTATTTTTAATATTTTAAAAATTTGACATATAAGAGGATGTTATGTGTCTCAAGTGGTTTATAGGGAGGGAATGGATATGGGCATGCATATTTGTGTTATTTGTTAGAATTAAAGAAAATCAGGCAGGAATAGTGAGTAAACAGGTTCCTCTGGGTATCCATGTCCAGAAGCTCCTTTGTCAGGGAAGATGGAGAGGTGGAACCACTGGCTTGTGAAGGGAAACTGGAATTAGATTTCTTCTCAGTGACTCAGAAGGCGAAGCAGGGATTTGATAGAAAGCTTTCTATCAAACGCTTTTTACAAACAGAGGAACAGCAGAACTCCTGTGTTTACCAGAGTGTGGGATCCAAAAGGCATGACCTAGCCCTGGATTCATGTGCTTATCTAATCTGACAGATGAAATTTAGTTGTCATTGCAGGTACATTTGGCTGCCAGGTATTACACAAACCCTTGACTGATCTCAACCACGCTCAGAGGCAGGCGGTATTACCCATGTCTATCCATGAGGACCAGGCATGGCTATGGCAAGCACCAAATCCAAAACAGTAGTGGTTCAGAATACAATAGTGTTAAGAGGTAGCTGAAGTAGAGAAACCAAAACTGAAGCAGCCCCATGGTCATCAAAAATCCAGGCTGGGAAATGTGTATCACCACCCAGCCTCAAGGCTCTCTTGCAGTCCCAGATGGCCACTTGGGTTGAAGACTACATGAGGGTGAGAAGCGTTAGTCTTCTATTTTTGCAAACAAGTGACTCCAACTCTTCTTTTTTGTTGTTTTGTTTTATAAAAGACAAATATTAAAATATTGATGCTAACATTATTAACTGGCTTATTTTTAAATATATGTATTTTTAAATTCTCAGTTTTAATACATATTTTACCTATTCCAAGTTTTAGTTGAATAAATACTGACACAACCCATACATGTTTGTAGTACAAAAATGATTGTAGCACTCAGTAATATTTTGGGGATGTAAAGGGGTCCTAAGACCCAAAACAGTTTGAGAACTGCTGGAGTCCACTAGTTCCCTTATGCATTATATTTTTGTTCAACAATTATGCCTGGCAGTTTTGGGTGTTGAGAATGCAGGTGAATAAGACAGGCAGGCCCCAATCTCATGGAGCCTGCATTCCTGTTGGTGCATGTGTGTCAGGTGATTTTGTCAAGGAAGACAAATGAACAAGGTAATTTCATGTAATACTTAAGTGCTGTAAAGAAAATTAAACAGGGTGAAGTGGCTGGGAGTGTGGAGCTAATTTAGATAGACACGGGGAAGATGAGTTTTGATCTGAGACCTGATGGGCAAAGGGGAGCCTCTGCTTTTTCTGGCTACTTCTGCTCTGCCTCCCTCTCTCCATCCCTGCTGGCCTTTCTGTGGTTCCTTAAATATGCCAGGCAGGTTCCCTCTTCAACACCCCCCACCCCACCCCCACCCCCCAATCTAGAAAAGTTTTCTGGTTACATTTTCATTCCAGTCACTCCAGCACAGATCTCTTTGAGAGGACTTCAGCTACCCATCTCAAATCCATCACTAGCCATCATCACCTTACTGGGTTTCATTTTTCTTCTTAGCACTTATCTCTACTAGATATTGCTATATGTGTGTGTGTGTGTGTGTGTGTCTCCCACAGAAACAGTAAACATGACAACAGAGACTTGGGGTGACTGTTAAAACCCCAGATTAAATACAGCCTAGGACACGCAAGGCTCAATCAATGTGCTGGATAACTTTAAAATTAAATACAATGGGAAAAGAAACCTTAGCTTCTGAAAAGATAAATAAATGCTAAAAGGAAGTTACTGAAAGACCGCATAGTGGCTTTAGTGCAACCATAAATACCCAAGGCGAACAGTGCCAGGCACACAGACAGGGAGGCTTAACAACGTTAGTGTTTTTGCTACCCGCCTCTCCGCACAGAGAACTTAAGGGTAGCTTTGCCAGTTTGTTCTTGTTATATCCACAGTGACTAGTCACTGGTGCACAGAAAGCGCTCAATAACTGTGGAATGAACGGGTGCCTCCCTCCTACCAACGGTTAACCTGAGCCCCTGAGCCCGGAGAGAGCGAGCCTTGGCCCAAATCACTCCAAATCTTAAAGGCAAAGGCGGGACTTGCACAGGAGTATCCCGACTCCCAGGGAAGGGCTAGCTCCACCGTAGTTACTGATTCTCCACTCCCCACAACAGCGTCAAATCGCGTCAAAGCCTTTAGTGCTTAAGTTAGGAAAATAAGAAGAAAAGCCTGGCCGCCTACCGGCAGCAAAGGACAAAACAAGGCCGTCAGACCCGCGGTTTCCCTGGAGCCCCATGGACGCCTGCGGCGGCCCGCAATGTCACATGACTAGGCGTGCCACGTGAGCGGCGCGCGCCCGCTCCTGCGCAGCCGCAGCCGGCCTCTTGCGCGCCATCCCAGAAATGGCGGCTCCGCTGGGGGGTATGTTCTCCGGGCAGCCACCTGGACACCCCGGGGACTCCAGGGGCCAAGCTTCGCTTCTTCAGGCCGCGCCAGGCCCTCCGAGAACTTCTAACAGTACCTTGGTGGACGAGTTGGAGTCATCTTTTGAGGTAAGGTGAGGCTGGGGCGTCTGTGTTCCCAGCCTACCTTCTTTCCTGAAACGTAAGCTGCGCCTGGGCAGTTGTCTCTTTCAGCGATGCCCACGTCAGGCTTGCAAATAGGGGAACAGGCTCAGAGAACGGAAGTCACTTGCTTTCGTCTCCACGTTGAGTGGTGGCCGGAGTTCTGTTCAGGTCTGCTGGCGGAGACGTAAACTTTATGTTTCTGGAAGCACGTGGACTTGAAGGTTGTCCATCCCTAGTCTCAGGACCCTCCTAGGTTCCTAGTCGGTTGTTCCCGTCCCATCTTTTTTTTGGGCCCATCCCCGAGCGCTCTTCCCCGCGTCCCTGCGTGTTTAATACTGCTTCATCTACGACGGGTAACGTCACACTGCTACGGCCTGTATCCTTTCCGCCGGGCTCCATCCTTAGATCGCCCCAAACTAATGAACTCTTGGAGATGAAATGGACTTACGTGAAAGTTACTGTCTGAAACTTGGTACTAGGAGAGAGGGAAGAAGGAAAGCTGGAGGGGCAAGGGAGGCAGGGATGACCCATACTCTTGAGTTCTACCCAAGAAGTTAACCCTCTAGCAAAGAAAATGGGGAGTGGTAGTAGACAAAGGAGAGGTAAAAATAGGTGCTTAAAAATAAGATGGCTTTCAGTGATCTCTAGAGTGCAAGACGAGCCATTATTGTGTGGAAATAAAATAACTTATAATTGCAGCTACCTTTTCCACATTTTAAGTCATGTGCATTTTATACTGTATATAGTAGCAGAGTAGAGCGTGAATATAGTTTGTAAATGAATGTGTTATTGGGGCTGCATGGGAAAAATGCATTTCTTGGGGAGTGTAATTCAAAAACTTGGGAGATAACTGATTTAAAGGACATCAGAATTTATCGGGGAGGAGGATGAGCCGCCTTTTCAGTGGTGCTTTAGAGCAGCATTTAGCATTGAGGTAGGTGGCGGTCAGTCATGAGTGCTTGCTGAAAGACTGGCCCTGTGGAAGTCTTGGCCAGAGCCAACACCAGCGCCCTAATGCTTAAAACCCTTTAGTGGCTACCTGTCACTCTTGGAGACGGAGCCAGAAAGTTTACTGTGGTATTCCTAGCTCTGCATATTTGGCTCTCTTCTCCGTTGCAATTTCCTTTTACTCTGACCACAGAAGACTTTTTCTCCATGTGCTGTTTGTTTTCTCTCTGGGTTTCCGTCCCCTCCCCCAACTTGTGCATCAGATCCTTAGTGGATCCACCCTGGTGCCTTTTGTAGGACTTACCACCAAACCAGGCCCCTGGAGTCAGAGGCCATATCTCCCTCATTCCCCCATCAGTGCTAATACAGTGGTAGCAGATAGCAAGTGCTGGATGTGTATTTGTCGACCAGTGAAAGAGCCTTTTGTGTGTCAGTCCCTGTCTTCGGTGCTAAGAATACAGAGAGAACAGTCCTTGCCCTCAAGGAATTCATGACAGTTGGGTAGAGGAAACATAAATAGCAGGCAGTTGCTGTGTTGTGTGATCACTGCTCTGGTAGAAGAAAACCCAGGGAACTCTGGGAGCACACATGAGCCTGGCTGCCAACGGCGCTTCCCAGAGAATACGAAACCCAAAAGGGCGTTTGGACAAAGCCAGGTAAGAAGGAGAGAGAGTTGCTGCCTGGCCCTCCCTCTGCTGCTTTATGATCACCCATCTAGTCTTCTCAAGACTCATCTCAAAGGCCACATTTTAATTTCCCTGTGGTTTCTGTGGGCTTCTATTCCAGAGCCTCCAGCGGCCCGTGGCACCTGCCTGCCCACTTTTCATTTCATGTTCTATTTTTATTTTTATTTTATTTTATTTTTTTTAAAGATTTTATTTATTTATTTGACAGAGACAGAGACAACGAGAGCAGGAACACAAGCAGGGGGAGTGGGAGAGGGAGAAGCAGGCTTCCTGCTGAGCCGGGAGCCCGATGTGGGACTCTATCCCAGGACCCTGGGATCATGACCTGAGCCGAAGGCAGTCGCTTAACCAACTGAGCCACCCAGGTGCCCCATTTCATGTTCTATTTTTAAAGAGTGCTGTCCCTTGAGGTCTCTGGCTTTCTCATTCTAGTTGCTCAGTAAATGCTCTTTAATGGAGTGAGTTTATTGAGATCATGCCCTCTTGTTGTGGGAGGGAACCTTGGAGACCATCCTCTCCTTTTACGGATGGAGAAACAGGCTCAGAGGAGAAATTACTTGCCCAAAGCCAGACTCTCAGTTTATGCAAATGAGGACTAGGACTTGGGCTTCCCTACTGTCCAGTCAAAAGTTCCATCCTACACATACTTCTAAAAAAGCGTGTTCTTTTTATAGACCACCACATATTTTCTTCTCTATACAACTGCCCAACTATCTATAAAGACCTGTGTGTGTAATATCCTTTTTTTTTTAAGAGGTAAGAGGGAACTAAAATTCCTGAGCTCAGATTTCCTCTCACTGGGTCTGGTGGCCCTGCTCTCTGTAGGGGAGCAGCTCCACCTTTGTTGCTTGGTTTGCCTGGTTGGCCTCCTGGGTGGGATGTTCTCCAGCACCCACAGGTTTCTCAGAGCAGGTGTGCCCTATTCATGTCCTAGGTCCAACAGGAGTCGTCTTTCCAAGTAATACACAGAATGGGCAATTTGTTTTTCTGATTTCTTGAGCTGTTACAGGGATTCCCCAGGAGTCATCCTGTGATTTTTCTGTATAAATCAGTTGGGGGAAACTGCTAACAGCAGAATTTATTGCTTCCCAAAGGGCCCTCACATCTGGTTGATGGCCTAAATTTGGGCTCAGATATGCCTACCTCACACCAAGTGTAGTTTACTTACTGCTGGTGAGGCTCTGCTTTCCTGAGGTTTGAGGCTTCCTTTCTGACCGCTGCTCCCCTCTCCAGCTCCCATCCCATTCTCTTTTTGACCCCACTGCCCAGTGATAGGCCTTCTTTGTGCGTTTTCTGACAGTTTCCTGTGCACATAACTCCCTTGCTGAATTACGTATTCATCTAGATCGGTGCTCCTTTAGAGAAACTGTCTCTTTGGGCCTTGTTTTTCCATGTGACAGCAAGCTTGTTCCCTTAGGTTGTCCTGTCAGTCATTAACCTATTTAGTGAGCCAAGCAGTGCCAAGCAGTCTTCTTGCACTAGGAGTGTAGTGAACAAGACATGCAAAATTCCCACCTGCTGGTGGGAACCAACTAATAATGGACTAAAAGAATGGAATGATGTCAGTTAACTCTGTGAAAAACAGTAAAGCTGGGCTTGAGGATAGTGAGCAGGAGGGGCGCCATTTCAAGAGGAGAGAGAGATGGCCTCTCTGAGGAGGTGATGATTTACCCAAGTCCTGACACAGTGGTAATACAGTTCATGTAAGCATCAGAGGGAGGGGCTGTAAGTGGGGCTGGAACAGGGGCCCAGGCTCTGGTGTGGAATGGGACCGTGGGGAAAGGGGTGAGTGGCAGGAGTCGGGACCAGGTGGTGGTGCTTGCATATACCAGCAGCCTCATTTGCAGGCTCTCCCTCGGAGGGCCTGATGGATTCAGTGTACCAAGTTCCTTCATTAGCAGGAGGATATCTTGTCAGCTGATGTGCAAACCCAGACTCTATAAACTCATTGAATGACTTCAAGAGAAGTTGTTTCTTACTCTGAAGTAAGATTTTTGACATGTGAATGACATGTTTTTTCTTATATGTTTGGGTCACACAGGCTTGCTTTGCTTCTCTTGTGAGTCAGGACTACGTCAATGGCACGGATCAGGAAGAAATTAGGACTGGTAAGAATTTACTCTTTGTAGATTATGTTCTTACCTTCAGCAAGATTCCTAATTGCTGAATTTATACTCGACATGTTTCAGTTCTATTTGTATCCTAAGAGAACTTTTCCAGAGAATAAGATTGCAGTCATTTCTATATACTACTGGTTCTTTGTTCACTTTATTAATTGACATGTTCCCTCATAATGAACCACTTAAAATGAGCTTTCCATTTTGGTATAGGACAGTGACAACCAACAATGCATACTGCTTTTTTCAAAAAAGTTAAGTTTTGATTATTTTTTGAAGGTGTCACAGAGAAAAGTCTCTTGTGCTTCCCTGACTTCACCCAAGTTCTGTCCCCAGAGGCAGCCAGTGTTTCTGACTTTTTTGTACTATATTTTACATGTTACATTTTAACTGGAAGTCATGATGCTACTTGCTGGATCTCTGGATGGATTGTCTCTCTTCAGAAGAACTTTTGTGTTGTAATGAGGTATCATTCACCTCATAAAAGCACAAATTATGTGCCATTTAATGTTGGTTAATACATGGGGGTTGGGAGTCAGTATCACTGCTGTGACCAGAATTAAAATTCCAGATTACATCTATGGGAAGATGCCATTTTGATATTTTGACTGTTCATTTATGAGGGAGATATATGTGTCTAGTGTTTTTCTTAATATTTTGGTCTTTTTTTAAATAAGGTGTTGATCAGTGTATCCAGAAATTTCTGGATATTGCGAGACAGACGGAATGTTTTTTCCTACAAAAAAGATTGCAGTTATCTGTCCAGAAACCAGAGCAAGTTATCAAAGAGGTATGAACTCACATTTCTTCTCAACTTTTAGGAAGAGCACATGTTGTCAGGATTCCATATGTGCTTTAAATGAGACACATCCTTTTCCCACAAGTTACAGTAGGGCTTTATAGATTGAATACAAATGTTGCTAGTTGTCAATGTTGATGACAAGCTGGGCAGGTAATGGAGCCAGGGGTGGGGGGGGTGGGGAGAAGATGGGCTTCCAACAGAGCAGTTTCATTTGCTGGGTTTCATGGAAGATGAAAGGCTCTGCTGCTTGAAAAAGGTGGAGAAGCCATTAATGTAGACAACAAGCTCAGTCTGGACAAAAATTGTGAGCTGTGTGTATCCCCGGCTGCCTTAGACACAGGAAGGGCTCAAGTTTTGTTCACGGAATCAAAAATTACATGTTCTGTCCAGGTTCCTTGAGACTCAGGATTTCATTTATCTCAATTGTTTGAAACTGGGGCATTTGGAAATGTGTTGAGGTTGCCACAATGACTGGAAAGCTTTATTGGCATTTAGTTTGTTGGGCCAAAGCCTGCCAAGTGCATTGTGGAAGGGAGAAGAATCATCTTGCCCAAGAGACCTGTGATGCCCCTAATGAGAAACAATAAATTGAAATGATTGGTTTTGGTACCTTTTGAAGTAACTACTCCCAATTAATTGAAAACATTCTTTTTATTCATTGATATCAGCTGTTGAGAACGTGAAGGGTAAGATGATATTTTACGGTTTATCATTGTCAGATCATATCATGTCAGAACACTTGAGTAAGAACATAGGTATGTTCAAGGCCAGGCCTTAATAAAGAATTATAATGCTGATACTCATTTAAAAAGCTCTTGAATATGAGATTTTAACACTTTATCCTGAACTGATAGAACAGTGGTTTTGGACTCTTTTTAAACAGTTGTTAGCATATATTTGATTCTCAGTGTTTTAGATTCTCAGCAATAGCCTTTGGACAGAGGGTGCCTGGGGACCAGGATGGGAAAGAGACTGATTTTCTTTGGCTGCCCTTTGGTACTTTAGAATATTGGAACATCTGTATTACTTATTAAAAGAAAATGAAAAATAAAAACTCCCAGTGTTAGGCATCTTCCATTGGAGGAATTACTGTGGGTTGTTCAGATAGTGGAGCCAAGCAGGGTAATGGGCATACAATGGTTTAATTGATTCTCTTGTTTTGAATTTACTTCTTAAGGCTCTGACCAAATCAGAAACTATTTTCACTTTTCATGAACTTGCTCTTACTTCGTTGTCCTCATTTGCAGGATGTCTCAGAACTAAGGAATGAATTACAGCGGAAAGATGCTCTAGTCCAGAAGCACTTGACAAAACTGAGACATTGGCAGCAGGTGCTGGAAGACATCAACGTCCAGCACAAAAAGCCAGCCGAAATCCCTCAGGGCTCCTTGGCCTACCTCGAGCAGGCATCTGCTAATATCCCTGCACCAATGAAGCAAACCTGAGTCAGAGCTGGCCTGAAGGTGATCTGGTGTGTGAGTCAGTCTAAACACGGTGACAAACATCACTTCTTGTGGACATGACATTTTGGAAGAACTCTTTGCCAAAGAATGATGATTTTTGTTGATGATCTCACCTCAAATTTTCCCCTTATTTTATTTTATTTTTTTAAAGATTTTATTTATTTATTTGAGAGAGAGAATGAGAGACAGAGAGCACGAGAGGGAGGAGGGTCAGAGGGAAAAGCAGACCCCCTGGACTCCAGGATCATGACCTGAGCCGAAGGCAGTCGCTTAACCGACTGAGCCACCCAGGCGCCCCTCCCCTTATTTTTATAAGCGTTATTTCTTGAGTACTTTATAAAATGCCTATATAGTTTTGGTAAATCAAGTAAATTTTCCTGTTTTTAGCAAAGTTTAGACTGGTAGTGTGATGCTACTTACAGATTTCCTTTTCATGTTTCTTTTTTCTGTTTGTATTTTTTTGTTGTTTTTGTATGACTTAATCTCTTTGTGTTCCAGTTTTAGATTAGCTTGTATGATCTGATCTAAGAATCAGAGGATGAGGAGTTTGGTGGTGGGCCTTTTATGACAATTATCCCTAGGTGGTAGTGCAGAAAATAGGTAAATTTGCATGTTTCAAAACTTTAAATTACTTCAAGAAGAAGACTCTAATACAGTGATGTTTGTAATGCATCCGGAGCTCTTAGAATGAGGATATTTTGTAAATACGTTGAAAGGATTATAATATCCTAAGTTAGTGTAGTAATAATATAGTAGGATCCTTACGTTGATTTTGACTTTTATTTGGGCTAAGCTTATATTTTGTGTGGTGTTTTTTCACTTTTTGGAGCGGAGGTGTGTAGTAAGAGCAGTGATAAGCTAAGTTTTGTTACGTTCTGCAGTGATGAATCAGCGTAAGTAAGGGGACAGACCTTGTTTTCAGCATGGCACTTGCGTACGTGCAGTATGAGAAGTTAAAGCTTGCCATGATCATCTTTTCATTTTGAGTTTTGTTCGCTTGTGTCGTTTTTGTTTCTGGTTTTTTGTAGCAGAATTTTCATTAAGGATGATTCTTGCTAATGAATAGTTGATTCCAAGGGACTGGGGCCTCTGGGTGGGGAGTGGGCTGCAGGGTGACCCTCAGTGAACTCCCCATCCTCAAAAATCATGGGAGCCTCAGCTTTTTGGGGGAAGACATTTTACCCTCTTGTTGGTTACACGGGCCAATGAGATTCTCTGTTGAGCTGCCCTTGAGAAGTGCAGAAGGGCATTGCGCATGGTGCTCCCTAGGTGGGATTTTCCTTTCTCTGTTGTTTACCAGTCTCTTATCAGATTACATCTCCTAACCCAAAACAAATGCTCTATTGTTTTCTAAATAGGCAGTACTTCTGCAAGTCAGGTGTCCTGACTTGTTTTGTTTTCTTCAGCCTTGAAGGCTCCTCCCTCCATAACAGTGACATCATCCATTCATGGTTGTTTGGCCTGGATGCCACCTGGTCCCTGAAGTCTCTGCACACTTTCTCTGCTGCACCCTGAGGACACAGGACTTCCCCTCTCTTTGCCAGCCTTGCTTGATTCTCCCTGGGGGTTAGTGATTTGTATCCGTCTCTGTGCCCCTCATGAGAAGGAGGCATTGTTCCCCTCTGAATGTACAGTGACCACATATTATTTATCTTTTATGCATAATACTTACTGCTCATTTTTGTTTGTGTGCATGTGTGTGGGGTACCCAGCCTGGGGCCAACCCCTCAGTACAGATTAAACAAAGCTTTTAAAAGTATGACTTCAAGGTTGTTAACCTGGCCACCTCATACCAATTAGAAGCTCTGATTGGCGGGATTAAGTTTTAGGCAGTCTTGCAGTAATAGAGGTTCTTACTGAAAAGATTGGGAACTATTTTGTTTGGTGCTCAGTGAAAATATTTTGAATTCATGTAAGGACCAATTACTGCCATTTATTTTTTCAAAAGTTTTCTGTCAAATAAATAGCAGTTTTTCAGTCTTACCTGTTTGTAAATATCTTTTTCCTTTTAATGACCTCTTAATTGTTGATGAACATAGAAAACCCTCTGAGCTGCTGTCTCCTTCAGTGAAAAAATAAGAAACCATCAGCTGGGATTTCCCTTACTTTTCCACTCCCAGAATGACAAACCTACCCACCTCTTCAGGGTATCCTTTTTTTCCTTGCTGTTCCATCTCCCGAAGTGCCTACCTTTCCACCAGTGTCCAGGGTCCCAGGTTAGTTGCCTTCTTTAGGCTTAATCCTTGGGTGGTGTTCGTCCCCTGCATCGCCTGTCTACTGGATCATTCCCTCCAGCTCACAGAATTCTTCATCTCCCAACTTCAGCATTTCCCTCGGCGCTTGAGCTGCTGCCCTGTCTCCCGGCCCCTCGTTCACAGTCTCTAGCGTGTCTCCTCTCCCTTCCTTCTCCTCCAGGCTGCCCCCCCCACTACCATCACTGTGCTGTTATGGTTACTAGCCACTTTGCTGGTGCTAAGTTGAATGGATACTTAATCTTTTTTACTTGAATTCATTCTCTTTGATTCATCTTTCCTTTTTTACCCAGCTTCTCAATATTAACATTTCTGAGTGTTTGGTCCTGGAGCCCTGGAGGCTGTAGTGGAGTGCTGCTCAGTTCTCCCTTCAAGAGAGTCACTATGGGGGGAGTACAGTTACCAAAGCTCCGCCTTCGGGGCTCTGCCGCAGGGTTCCCAGAGACCTCCAGTTAATGTCTTGTAATTTTAAGTGTGTCTTGGGATGTAGCTCCTGGAGGACCTGACTGACATGGATGTTAGTGGACATGGTCTGAGAGAGCCAGCAGTAGGATGGGGTTTGGGGACTGGCTCATGTACTGTCCGACTGGCAAAAAAGACCCGTGGTGGTACAGTTACCAGTGGCCCAGGTGCTGAAGATTCCACCAGTGGTGCCTCAGGGAAACCTCCCAGTGGAAGGAAACATTGCCAGCGCAAGGATCAAACACTGGAAGGTAAAAGGGAACACTGTATACAAGAACAGTGGAGTTGGCTGGTTATCCCCTCACCATCTTGACTCCCCCTGGAGGAATAATGACAAACTACCGGTACTTAACAAATAGTCAACAGCCACCCTGAGTGCCTGGGGCATCTTTGATGATCTCCTGCTGGGGGACAACAGATAGTTGAGCTAGTAGGAGGTAATAAATCAAAAATAATATTGCAGGGCCGGCGCTTGGGTGGCTCAGTTAAGAGGCTGACTTTTGATTTTGGCTCAGGTCATGATTTCAGGGTCGTGAGATTGAGCCCCACGTCAGGCTCCACACTCAGTGGGAACTCAGTAGGGAGTCTGCTGGAGATTGTCTCTCCCCCTCCCCCTCCTCCCTGTCTTTCTCCCTCTGCTCACATGTGCGCGCTGTCTCTCAAATATTCAGAATAATAACAATAATAATAATATTGCACCCCTAAGGTGATGGTGGAGATTAGTGCTACCATAAGAAATCTAAAGGTTGCAGGGAGAGTGGTTCCCTAACAAAGCTCCATTTAATTTCCCAACCTTACCCTTGCAGAATCCAGATGGATCCTGGAGAATGAGTGTAGAGACCAAGTAACCTCAAGTGCAACTACTGTGTTGGATATTACATGATGCTAGAGCAGCTGATAAGGGCTGAAGTACAAGATAGCAGCCATTTCTTGGGCGAGTTCATTCTTTCCCACCCTAATTAAGAAACACTTTACAGCACAGCAATCTTCCTTTCCAGTTTTGCTCCAGCAATGTTAGCCCTTTCTTCTGTCATAATAGGGCCTACCGAAATTTATCACCAAATCTTGCTGTTTCTTCCTCCTGACTCAATCCTGAATCAGCTCATTTCTCTTCATCTCCACTGTTCTCCCCAGGCCATCACCGTCACATCTGGACCACTTGCTCTTGAGAGATTGATGGAATCAGATTATGTACATAAAAACCGGAAGAATGTTTTATCTCTCAAGTGAGTTTCTTTGTCAGCATTACCTAGGGTATGGTAGGGTATGGAGAGGTAGGATTTTAGTCACAGTTAGTGAAGGTGTAAACTTGGTAGAAACTTTCTAGATGATAATCTCGTTATGTCAGAAAGCTTAAGCGTGTATCCTTTGACGCTTTACTTCACTCCATTTAAGGAATATGTCCTAAAGAAATAAATGGTAGAAGCATGCACAGATTTAGTTAAGAAAGATGTAATCATTGCAGGGTAGAATCTTGAAATTGAACCATCTTTCACTCACCTGCACCAAGAAAGAAATCAAGCAGATGTAAAGTCTCAGTAAAATTCTGTCCCTGCAGCTGGTGTCCTGCTGAGTTAAAGGACAGTCGTACAAAGTGCAGCTACTTTGCTAGTCATCAGGAGTTGCAGTGTTAGAAAAAGGTTTCAGTAAACAGAACTATCCGTACATATTTTTTAAAACACAAAATGCAGGCATAATCCTACAATGCTCACCTTAAGCAGGAAACAAGATAACTAAAAAAAAATGTGATACTGGGGCCCCTGGGTGGCTCAGTCGCTTAAGCATCTCCCTTCAGCTCAGGTCATGAACCTCGGTCCTGGGATCGAACCCCGACTTGGGCTCCTTGTTCAGCGGGGAGCCTGCTTCTCCCTCTCTCCCTGCCCCGCCCCCCCACTTGTGCTCTCTCACGCTCTCTTCCTCTCTCAAATAAATAAAAATCTTTTTTTTAAAAGTGTGATACTGAAAATGGCATGTTACATTGGTAACATATTGTCATTTAAGAAATTATAGGGCCATGTGTTTTGATTAGATAGTGATTTTACCTTTGAATTGTGAATTGTAATTGCATTTCTCTCAAAATGATGTATGGAAGCAGCTACTTTTTATTTGAAGATGATCTAATTGAGGTTAATGTGAACTTCTATTTCCAAGCTCCATCTTCATCTAATTTCACCATTCTTTGGGAAAATAATACAAGTCACAGCCATTTTTTATTGCCCAGTTGTTTAAAGTTTTATTCAAAGAGCAGGGTTTGACAGTGCATAGAATAAACAACTGTTTATGGCCACCTGTGGGGCCAGCACCAAAGGACTGAGAACATATTTTGCCCAAATTGTATTGAGTCTTGTCAAATCACACTGCTCTGTAAGAATGTCAGACAATTCAGTGTGGACTGACAGGTCAGCACTGTGAATGGCCAGTCCCGATTCCCTTTAATGTACTGAGCATCCATGCAATGGGGAAGCAATGCACCATGAGGCAAAGGGCCCAAGCCCAAAGACTACAGGTTCAGTAGGTCTTTGACTTCATAGAATACTCTAGAAACCTTGACAAGTGACCAAATTGAAACTACAATCATTGAAACTGAGATGGATGATGGGGCGAGGCTCAGTTATTCACAGAAATATACTGGCAGTGGTTAATTCCAGTTCATGATTGGTATCATTACTCATAATATTTTGCTTAATTCTTGCAAAGCCCCTTTTGAGGTAGGTGTTATCCCCTCTGTAGTCTGCTTCATGTTCTGGAGCTATGAAGTCAAAGCATTCAATCCAAGTATGCCAAGGTTTCCTATAGTCCACTCCTAGTTTTGCGTCGTTTTTTTAATTGGCTTTCATGAGTATTTTGAACTTTGTTTTACTCTTCTTCCTACTGAGGTTGAATGTGCATTTTGGAATTATGTCATTTACATAGAAATACTTTTCAAGTGGAGATGACTAGCATTCTAAGGAAAAACGAACCACTTTTCGAGTAGACCATGGAAATCACAAAGCCTGGTATTCCATAAAGTGGAATGAAATCTTCTGGATACTAGAAATACAATGTGAAGGTTATCAGCAACATTAATAACATTTTCCTATGGGTGACTTTTGATAACACTTTTTTGTTGTTGTTTTTTGTTTGTTTGGTTTTTAACCTTAATGGCAAGAATTTTTTTTAAGCACTGGTGTCACAATGAAATAGTATGAAATGTTAAGGCCAAAATTTGTTTTGGCTATTATATATAAATCATATCATAAGCAAGTTATTTGGTTGGTTGGTTGTTTAGTTCATTCCTTCAATCAGTTGCTTTAAAAGAAATGTTTTTCAAATGTCCTCTTTGTGATGGATCCCAAGAATCAGTTTAGAAAGAAAAATACTTGGTAAACCATTCCTGGTGGGCAGAGCCCTGTTTCTGTTGGACTTCTTTGGGTTGGGCTGTTTCACCATCTTGTGTCCTAAAAACAAGCCAAGAGACAAAAAGGATTCTTAGAAGGTTTTGAAAATTATTCAGCAAACCACTTAATAACCCGCTATCTTTCAGGGAAAGAAAGCTGCTTCTGGTACTCTTGGAAAGACAGTACAATGTAACTGGCCAACATTCATAGCTGGAAAGAAGTTGTGAAAGATGGGGTGGGGAGAGAACATCTGATTCCCATTTTGAAAACAAGGTCTCCAGTTTTACTTAAAACCTAATGAGGCATATCATGTAATTTTATTTCAGGCACAAATAAAAAATAAACCTCATAAAAAAGTTAAGGAATGAAATAGTTAATCATCACAGCCTTACAATGTCTGGCTTCTTTAAAAGCTATCTAATGTGTTATAGCATCTCAATAAGACAGTGGAATTAGCCTAATAAATTGAAAAGAGGAAAGAGTAAGCAAGAAAGTACGATGTATACCTGCCTGAATGAACGGTTTCTATCTGATTAGTGAAGCTTCATGCAAACTGGGAACCTAGCTTTACACACAGGTGTGTGTTACTGAGGTGAAGCTAGAGTCAGGAGCTGGCTCTAGCAGTTAGGGCTGGGTTCAGGGCTCCAGGCCTTAGTTTCCACAGCTGTGAAACAATGGCTGGACTCATTTGGTGACTGCCAGGGGCTCTGTCCAGCTCAACATTCATAAAGGACTGTGTCTCCCCATTTGTCTCAATAGCCACGGGGATGCAGGCCTTCGGAAAAGGAACATTTTTAGAAGGAGCCCTTTCTGAAATGCAAAATTCAAAGCCCACAATATGAAATACTGCCTCTGAATGGAAGACTGGATAGGAGGGAGAACTAATAAAGGGAAAACTCATGATCCCGAAAGAAACATGTTGCAAGGGTTTCTGGAAAAGTAAGATGGTTTCTGAGATACCATGCATGAGCTCCCAAACCCACAGATTAAGAGTCTTATAACCTCAAGATGATACAATAAATCTTGAGAAATAACCTTAATAATAATAGTGGAAATCTACTGAACGCTTCTGTACCAGGTCCTGTGCTAAGCATGTGTCACGGATTCATTCCTTTAGTCCCACATCAGTCTGATGAGGGAGATGCTATACTATCTTTGTTTTAGAGGTGAGGAAATGGAGACCCAGAGAGGTAAGTAATCTGCCTAAGGCCACCTAGCTAAGAACAAGAAGGACCAGAATTTGAATCCAGACCTCAGGGCCAGATGATGAGAGTCCCATCTTCTGTGTTAACACACACAGACATGGCCAGCTGAATGTCCCTTATCTAATCATCCATGGAAAAAGGCTTTCTGGAATTTAGTACCAAGAATAGTACCGCTTCTAAAGAGTGACATAGTTCCTTCCTCTTACACAACCTTCCCGTTTGGCTGGATTGTAATTTGTCCAAGGCAGGGTTTTGCTATTCTTTATATCTGCCCAAATGCCGGGAGTCTGAGTGGTGCCAGAGAGGAATCCAAATTCCCCTCCTATCGGTGGAAACGAAATCAGAGCTCCCCCCCTACCTCGTGGCGGTTTTCACATCTAGAGACTGGGTGGGTTTGTAAGGCTGGTCACAGCTGGGGCTTGGGTCCAAGCTGGGTGATTTAGTTATTGGAGGGGCATTGATCCTGGAGCTCAGATCACCACTCAGAAAGTTTTTGGCGTAGGAGGCAAGGTTTGGCACACTGACCACTCGGCTGGGCACTTCCTCCATCTTCTTTTTCTGTTTGTATTAAAAGGAAGGCCTGTTAGTGCCACCCCAAAGAGGCATCACTGTAAAAGTAAAAAGGCCCACCCAGCCAAAACCATAAGGGAGAGGAGGCGATAATTTTATTTATATACTTAGATGTTATTTTTTAAAGCATTTTTTTCTTCAGTCTACTTTATGTTTTAAGAAACACAAAGGTTTACAATTTCTTATCAAAAACTTCTGGGGAGGGGCGCCTGGGTGGTTCAGTTAAGCGCCTGCCTTTGGCTCAGGTCATGATCCCAGGGTCCTGGGATCAAGCCCTGCATCGGGCTCCCTGCTCCACAGGAAGCCTGCTTCTCCCTCTCCCACTCCCCCTGCTTGTGTTCCCTCTCTTGCTGTGTCTCTCTCCGTCAAATAAATAAATAAAATCTTAACAACAACTTCTGGGGATAGATGTATGTTTTTGTAATTCAAAAAAATTTTTTTAGACTTTAGAAGGCCATCTAAACCCCCCAGTAGGGGCTTGGGCCCATTGTCTTCAAATGTGTTAATATTTCTGGAGTGAAACTTAGATCTTGTTGCACTGAGGGGCATATATAAAAATTATAAATGAGCTCACATCAGTTCAGGTTAGGTTTACTGCCCTTTGAACTATTAAAAAAATTTTTTTTTTGCACTTTTAGGATTTTGTGATAGCAGATGAGAGACTTGGATGTGAATATTTTCATTATAACAAGTTCCAAAAATATATGCAGGGGTAAAAAGTTAAGCGGGAGATTCCTGCTCTTTACTCTCCTTCCTATCCCAGATATAACCATTATTAATAGTGACATGTTTATTTATAGGAAGTTTGGAGAATACAAAAACCCATAAAAATTAAAAGTACACATTATCTGCCTAGCCAGATATAAATACTGTTTGTTATTAATTTGGACTATTTCCTGTGAGTCTTATTTTCAATGGATATCCCTCTGAATGTATGCCAGCCCACTGACAAATAAGCTGCAGTTACCTTTAGGAAAATGAAACCAGCAGGATTGTGTAATGCTTGAAACCAGCAAACCAATTTACCTTCATGGAAGGGGTCAAATATCCTGGGTGAGGATTGAAAGAGAAGGACCGATTCCTATGGGACATGGCACTGGGGAAGGCTGCATAGTGAAATCTTCTCTCCTCCTGGAAAAACAACACAACTGAATCTACATGAGCCTAACCGTACAGCATCGGGTTTGACCTGAAGGAAAAAGGCCGTGTGAGGGCAGATGACAGAGTGAAGGAAAGCCCAGGGGAGGGAGGGGAGGTCAGTGGGGATCAGGCTGCTGTCCACTGAAGCTTTGAGGAAGCACCTTTACTCCGGTGGCCTTTGAGTCCCCAGCTTCTCTTGTATAGGAAAGGGCAAGCTTATTTGAAACACTTTATACATATATATATCCAGGTACTCTTAGCATCTGAAAAGAGTCTACTGCAGAAAGTACGACAAAGAAAGAAAACCCCAGGTACAATCACTACGTGGCCAACCTTGTTTATGTGTGTCCACTTTTCTCTCCTGCTGTATTATTTTTAAAGCAAATCCCAGTCATTGTATAATTTCATCTGTAAAAACATCAATATGTATCTCTAAGAGATAAGGACTCTAAAAAAACAAAAAACAAAAAAAACCTAACCACAATACTTTTGTCACATTTAGCAAACAAGCTATTCCTTAGTGTCTAATTTTCAGTTAGTGGTGAAATTTTCCTGATGGTCTCATCAGTATACTGACATGAAACAGTGGCTCTGGCAGGGGTGGGAATGGGAGTGAGATCTGAGAGGGCTATATTTGTGTGAGGCCACCGTAAGACTGTGGATTTTACTTGGAGAAGATGGGAGGCCACAGGAGGTGCTGAACAGAGCCATGCTGGCTGTCATCTGACATATTTTCCTAGATTGCTCTGGTTCATGTGAGGTCAGCATGTGGGCAAGGTTCAAGTGAGTGGGGAGACCAGTGGTTCTCTATGGTGTGTGTGAGGGGCTTGGACTAAAGTGGTAGAGGCAAGATGGGGCGGGTGCGGGGAGGCGGCTGGATTTCTGATGGGGCTAACTAGCCCTTCCACCCTGGGCTACACGGACAGGAGTGAGTCGAGACCCACTGTCTCCAGGGCTGAAGGTAAGGCAGGGGAAGGAGTCCCCGCCAGGTCAGCTGGGGTGATACAGCTTTCAACCAGACCAGAGAGCACAGAGAGGCAGGTTAGTGCCCAAAGCAATGGATGAAGGATCCAGGGATGTGAGGTGGGTGGACTGTGTGAATGGGCAGGAGTGGATGGAGGGAGGGAGCTTCCAAAGAAATGGCCTCAGGCTTTGGTGGCTGTTGGATACAGAACCAGAGGGAGAAAACTTTTCTAAGGAGTCCAGGGGATGGCTTGCTAACTGCAAAGCAGGTAGTCATTTTTGCAAAAGGAAGATCAATAAACAATAATTGGCTTGATTGATTTACTAAAAATCAAACAGAAGGCAAGCCATTCTAGATTTTCCCAATTCCGTAGGTTAAAAAAAATAAACCAGTCAATCAACGTCACGTAGATGCTGTGGGACTTGAGTGCTTTTTTTTTGCCTCTATTTTCCTGTATTTATTTTTTTAGTATGTTTTTTGTTTTTTGTTTTTGGTAATAGACAAAAGGAATCAAGGATCTTCTGGAGGTGGTTTTAGGATTATCAGGATTAAAACTGTGGGTACCCAGAGCAGGGCCAGGTGCAAAGTGAATGGCCCTCCGGAAGGAACTCTGCAGGGCCCCCTGGTGGCCCTGACAGCCTCACCATGAGCTGCTTGATGATCTCCTCTCTCTCCTTCAGGCGGGTCTGCAGACGGCCTATGAGCTGAACGTCCTCTGGTCTGGACGCCCCCTTCCCTGGCTTCTCTCCAGAATCTGTCAGTCTGTTTGGAGCAAGCATGCAGTTAGTCTCCTTACTGTCATCACCCAACAATAAACAGGTGGACGTGGTGGGGATGCTGCCATGAGCGTAGCCTGGACAGCTAATCTCTCTATTCACGAAAGGGGAAACCGAGGCCCTGGGAGCTTGCCCGGGGCCACCCACTGAGTTGGCTGCAGAGCTCCGGGTGGAGCCCAGGACCCCAGCTCCCAGTCTGACCTTTGCCACTTCCCCCGAAGCTGCGGGGCCTGTGTATGATACGCACGCTGCCCTCAGTGAAGCGTCAGGAACCAGGGATGTCACTGGACAAAGGCCTCCGCGGAATAATGCTCCCCCCTCAAGCTCAGCGTTGTCGCCGCCACCACTAGGCTAATGCCGACGTGGCTCTGGCGCCATCTGCTGGCCGAGATGGAGCGCGGCATGCGCCGGTTCTCCGGCAGAGCAGCGGGGCAGCTGGTACCCCCAGCCCCTTCAACATGAAGCTGGAGAGAAAGAACTCTCCTCATGGTGGGGGGAGGGTTACGGCTGCACGTGACCTATGAACTGTAGCTGATAAGAGGCCAGGACTTTGGGGTGAGGTGGCGGGATCTGATCCCTACTCTGCCTTTTTCTAGCTATGTGACCTTGGCCATAGCCTTTCCCTGTGACCTTCAGTTCCCTCTTCTTTAAAATGGGCATGAAACCAGGTGGTTGTGAGGATTCAGTGAGATAATGGCATATGGTAAGTGCCCATTAGATGGTAGCCCATAAAACCTTCCACTCTGGATTTTGGATGATTTGCTTTGTATTGGAGACAGTGGAGAACACTTTTTAAAGAGCGAAAGCTAAGGGTCAGACAGGTGACATTTAGATTCAGTGCTGCTTGACCTTGGGCAAATGGCTTCACCTGTCGCCTTCCAACTGGTCTCCCTGCTGCTAACCCTGACTGCCCCCCGCAAGTCTCTTCTCCTCGCAGCAGCCAGAGTGACCCCGTTAAAAGATAAATCAGACCATGTCACTCCTGCTCAAAGCCTTGCAGTGGCTTTCCAGTGCACTCTGAACACATCCAAACTCCTTCCTGTTTAGTGCGGGGTCTCCTTCATCCCTCCCAGCTACCCCACCACCCTCAATTCCTACCACTCACCCTCTCACTTAGTCCTGGCTGTTCAGGCATGTGAAGCAGGCCCCAGGGCCATTGCACTTGCCGTTGTCTCTGCTGGGAATGCTCTTCCTCTAGATGGCTCTCTCACTCCCCCACCTGCTCGTGCTTAAGTGTCACCTCCTTAGAGAGGCCTTCCTGGCCCACCCTTGCCACTCCCTAGACATAGATCCTGTTTTTCTTCTACCTTTCGCTACCTGATAGGAAGTCAAATATTTATTTGCTTCTTTCTGTCTAAATTCCCATGTAGCATTTGTGAGCTCTATGAGAGCATAGTCATTGTTTAGTTCCCGGCTCTAACTCCAGAGCCTAAAACAGGGCAGGGCACACAATAGGCTCTTAATAAACATCTGTTGACTGAATCAGTGAAGGCATGTGAACGTGCACAAGGCCCCTCGGTTCCTTTATCTCTCCGGGGGAGTAACAGTTTCCACCCTGAAGGACTGCTGGGAAGATAAATGAGATGAGGCATGTGAGAAGGGGGCAAATGTTCATGAAAAAAGTGGCCTTGATCCTTCTGATTTCTTCCCAATGTGAGGGTCAAACCAAGCCCACAAGGCAGTGCTCATTCCTCACAGATTCCCAGTGCCCTACACAAAGAGAAGGTAGGCTCCCAAAGGGAGGGGTGACCAACTCTCCCCATGTGCCCAGGACTGAGGTGCTTCTTGGAACTCGGGACTTGCAGTTTCAAAACTGGGAGAGTCCCAGGCACACTGGGATGAGCTGGTTACCCTAATAAAATGTACGTCGACTAGCCCCTCCCAACCTGGGGCCCCAGGCCTCACTTACTCAGTTTCCAGGGCAGCCAGCCGGGCCTGGAGCCGGGCCTGAGCACTGCTGAAATCTGCCACCATGGCCTGCATCTCCTTCCGGTGTTCCTGGCGTAGCTTCTCCACCTCCCGGGCCCGCTGGGCTTGCTGATCCTCCTCCAGCAGCCTGCGGGTGGATGGACGCTCAGCTGGGCTTCCCTGGGCTCTGAGGACTGAACCTCGTGGGCACTGGGGATTCTCCACCCTCTGCTGGGTGGCTGGGTTGGGGAGACAGTCTGGGGGAGTGGTTATATGAATGTGGGGTCAGGACACTGGGAAGAAGACCTAGGCTCTCTAGTTGTGGGGTCCAGGATATACCCTGCTTGTGGGACCCCTTCTCAGCACCTCCTACCCCAGCATTCCATTTGTAGGTATAAACTTTCCAGCAAGGGGGTGAAAGAGCTGTGAATTCAGGACTGATAAGGAGCTATCCAGCTTGGGTTCGGTAATAACAGTAACCCCCACGGCTTACCAAGGGCTTCCTCTGGGCCAGGGCCGGTGCAAAATCTTGCTTACATTTCACTGCATTCCACGACAGCCCTGAGAGTTGGTGGTCTTACCTCCACTTGCAGCCCAGGGCACCGTCCTGGGGAAGTTAGCTGACTCTCAGGAGCTCACACAGCTAGTTAAAGAGCACCCAGCACTGTTTGAACTATTCCATCGCCCTGTCTCCCTATGGCTGCTTTTGAAGATGCTTTCGGTATGGTTAGGTCTGATTCCACAAATTCCTTGATTTGTAGGGAAATAGGGGTTCCGTCTTCTAGTCCAGGGCGAATCCTCTGCAGTGTCGAGCCTAGAATACTTTTCGTGGGTCTGGAGTGACATCAGTGAAGTGCTAGCATTAGGGAGTCTTTCCTTTGGGGAGATGGGAGGAGCCTGGGGGGGAGGTGCTTAGGTTTCAGAGGCTCTCTAAGGAGCAGTGGAGGGAACGAGGGAGGGCGGGGAGCTCCGCGGCCTGGAGACCCACCTGCGCTGGTCGCGGAGCTGCAGCGCCTCCTGCTGGTGCTGTTCCACCTCGGCCCGCAGCCGCTGCACCGCGTCCTTGAGCTGCGAGTTCTCCTCCCAGAGGCCGCACGCCTCGCTCGGACTCGGCTCCGCGGCGCCCTCCGGGGAGCCGGCCTGGCCCGGACCGCCCCCGTCCTGGGGAGAAAGGACCCAGGAGAGGTGTTTTCAGGGGGCGCCAAGGCGGACGAGGCGCAGAGGGCCCCAGACGTGCCGCGCAAAGCCGGGGACCGTGCGCGGCCCAGCCTCCAGCTCCAGATTCAGGAGCTCACAGCCAGGCTCCAGGTTTTCCCGCATCTGGCCCCTCACGAAGTTCGGTAAGGTCGGTGGGCCAAGAACTTGGCTTAAATCAAAACCAGCCAGGGGCGCCTGGGTGGCTCAGTTGGTTCAGCGGCTGCCTCCGACTCAGGTCATCGCGCCCCGCATTGGGATCTCTGCTCGGTGGGGAGCCTGCTTCTCCCTCTCTCTCTCTGCCTGCCTCTCTGCCTACTTGTGCTCTCGGTCAAATAAATAAATAAATAAAATCTTAAAAAACAAAAAATAAAAACAGCCAAACACCCCGCCCGTTTTTCAGACTTCCTTGCCTTCTGAGACTCTACCCAGAGCGCCCGTCCCACCTAAACAGCACTGCTTCGGGGAAGAAGCGATCAGCTTTCTCCTCTCTGCCATCACCGAATCCGAATCCCGGCTGTGGCGAGATTACCCGGCAGGGCGCTCCTTTGTTTGATGCTGGTTTCCTCCACTAGCCCAGGAGCGGTCCCCGGAAGGCACCATCTCCCCTCCAGTTTTCCAGTCCTCTGGCTCCTGGCGCCGTGGCTGACAGCCAGTAGGTGCTAAATAAATGCTTGCTAAATGCAGTGACGCTTGAACGCCAGGGGTTCAGAGAGAAATTCGAAGATCTATGTCCAAATTAAATGGGGTCAGAGTTAACCCCTGCTTAGTGAATGCTTCGGTTTTCAAGGCCGCTCAAACATGCCTGAAGGTTTCTGCATTTGCTCATTGCACACGAGGACTGAGCAGCTTGGCACAGAGAGCATCTGTGGCCCACGCCTTACACTTCCTGCTTCCTGCCCTAGGGCTTGCGTGTGCCTGAGACACCCGTGGGCACATGGGCGCCGGGCACTCCGATATGTATAGCGGGGAAGAGCTTGGTTAAGGTCCTGTGGGGCCACCCTTGACTAATGGGAGAGCCTGATGAATAAAGCATCCCCCTCTGGACAGGGGGACAAAGACAATTATTTCACAGGGCCCCTCAGAAGATCCCAGCAGGTGGGACACCACTTCCCTGCAGTGGGGGCCATGTAAGGATGCACCCCTTTATGGGGTGCCCTTCCCTTCTCTCTTTTGGTCCTACTGCCTGGGGCTGTTCCTCCTTGCTAATACTCCCACATTTCTTCTTTGTGTGGGTTTTCCTCTGAGGCCTTGCTGTTCCTCCCAGAGGGTTCAGGGCTTCCCTCCAATGAGGTGAAGGGGAGGGCAGGCACCTGGTGGCCGGCCAGGTATCATCTCATCCACCCAGAGATCCCGGGGTTCTCTATCCACGGCACTCAGGGAGCTTGTCATCGCAGATGTCACAATCCCACATTTCCCCTGCCCCCTTCCATACGTATGGGTGGCTCCCACCAATCTAGAACACTTAATGGAAAACATTCTGTCTTCCCTCTGCTACACTTTACTGACTGGGCTGAGCTCCCTGTGATTCATCATTTAATATTCCTCATTAAACACAAATCGTCTTCAGGTGCTCAGTACTGGCAAAATCTCAAGTGAACGATCCCCGTGTCCCCGGGATCTTCAGCAGGGCTGGGACACCAACTAATCATCAGCATCCACAGACTTTGTGCCAAGTGCGGAGAGTGAGGGTGGAGATGAAATAAGGCAGACCGGCCTGGTTCTCAAAAGACTCCTGGTCCGGTTGAGAACATCCATGAAGAACATCCATGACATGACGGCTGCCTAACTGGACCATGAAGTAGACACTAGGGCCAGCTGAACTATGATAGGAAATGCTCTGGGAGCTCAGGGACTGGTGGGATCGCAGGTGTGGAAGGGAGCCCCCTAGAGCTCGCATCAGCAGCACATATACTCAAATTGGAGGGGAAACTCCTGGCCCCGAGGGTGAGCTGGGCACCGAGGAGGGAGGAAGGCATCCCAAGCAGGGAGCGGACACATGCAAAGGCCCAGGGGCAGGAGGCAGGGCCCACGTTTAGAGCAGAGGGGGATACGGCTGAAGATACAAAGTGTGGCCCGTGGGGTGAAGGCTTGTCATTGCCGGGCATCTGGAGGTCGTTCTGATAGCGGGAGGGAGTCACTGAAGCCTTTGTACAGATGCATACCTGACACGGAATGGTACACGGTGGGTTCCGGCGGGGGGGGGGGGGGGGGGGTCTGGGCTGTTAGGGGGTCACTGTGCTGCCGGCCAGGTGGGGCTATGGATGTACAAGGAAGGGGCTGAGGGGCCAAGTCTGACTAGGAAGTTCGAAGAGAGTTGGTGTTGAACCTTGCAGCTCCCACTGACGGGAACAGGGAGGTCGAGGCAGGGAGTCTGTCTGGAGAGGCGTTCTGAGGCATTCTCTGCAGATTTGAAGGAGTAACCCTGACGGGCTGATCCTGGCAACGCCATTCTGAAATGCTACTGCATCTGAATTTAAAATGACATGCAGCACTTAAAACTTGGTGTTTTTGTTTTTGTTTTGCTTTTCAGAATGGGAGCCTGCAGGCCCATCCAGGATCTCCCAGGACTGTGGAAGAAGGGGCTTCCCCATTTCAGAAGGGAATGATGAGCACCCGGAGCCCCTTCTTTGTGACTTTCTCCCTGCAGCCTTGACGCTGCAAGAGGGGGGCTGTGTGGGCCGAGTGGGGGCGCTGACCTCGGCAGCGGCGGTGTGGTCCTCGCTGTCCCCTGGGCACTGGGCGATCGCCTGCCGCCTGCCCACGCTGCCCAGAGTCCTCAGCTCTGCCTGCAGCACCTCCAGGTCCTTCTGGTGCTCAGAGCAGGCAGCCCGCTGCTCTGAGAGCTCCTGCCTGAGGGACTCTGGAGAAGGAAGAGCTATGGGTTTTTAAAGAGAAGATCATTTTCAAGTGCTAGTAAATTTGATACTCTGCTTTTCTGTATGGACTTTTTGAGACTCTATTTTTGTTACTGCAAATTATTTCTGAAACATTGTTCCAATCATTCCATAAGCCATGAGATGCGTAGAGGCCTTAGTACAGAGCAAGTGTTCAACATATACTTGTAAAGTAAACAAGTGATGTTTAGAGTGGAAATTGATGACATTGTAAAAGTGTATCCATTGCAAAGGATTTCCCATAAATTTACTAAGCTGCTCTGAAAGTTATAGTATATTAAACACAGCAAAGCTTAGTTATTCTGATGATATGTTGAAAAATTTACTTGGTTATCTTTCCTCCCCACTAGGATTTTAATACAGTGATTTCTATAGCCTATTTTCTTTAAAAAGTCCAAACCCAACTCAATATTTTGAAATCCTTTATCACAAAAATATATGCAATAAAACCCTTTAGCAAAGCATAGAGTGGGTTCATTTATTACCCCTTCCTCTTCTGTCGTACATTCCCTTCCCTCCCCTTCTCCCTCCCTCCCTCCCTCCACCCATCCACCCATCTACCCATCCATCCAACCACTCCACCTCTCTACACATCCACCTGCCCATCTATCCATCAGCCCATCCATCCATCCACACATCCACCTGCCCTTCCGTCCTTCTACCATTCCACCTATCCATCCAGCATGGCCGGGTCCCCACCCCAGTGGATCAGGTAATCTGATGGACACTCCCTGCGCCTCACACACTGACCTACCCTGCAGGTCAAGTGTGTCTCACACAGACAGTGAAATCGCAGTCACTGGGACCAGGAATGTCTACTTTAATCACCCTGTCATGGTAGGTGCTCCCCCCGCCCCAATACCACCCACAAAGCCGACGACTTGCTATCATCATTACAGAGTTCCCAGAGCCCCTTTCTCCTGGGGCTGTGTTGAGAATCCCAGCATGTACCCAGGCTCTCTCCTGATTCTTTTGTCCAGGAGAGGACCAGGCTGCTGTGGGATCAGAGGGGCCAGGGAAGTGGCCGTAGGGACAGCTGCTGTTGGGTGCTGGAATCACCAGGGGTGTTCAACATGATCTGAATCTTGTCCTGTATCTGAGACATATGGCACCACCTGGGTTTTATCTTGTGTAATCCGTCTTCTTCAGATGATGCCAACTCTAGCATTTCCCACTTGGATGTTAACTGGGTAATCAGTGGGACTCTCTCTCTCTCCTGCCTGCTCCCCACATCACTTCCTCCAGAAACGGGCAGAGCTGACGTGCTGATGTACAGTCTGCAGGACATGCTATCTAATGAAAGCGCAACCAAATGGCAGGTAGATCGTACGCACTTAACGGAGATAAAGAAAATACTCTTTCCCAAAATTCTCTTAAGGAAAACCCTGTCTGGGTTTGAAAAAAAAAAATTTTTAATAAGGCCAATTTGGTCTTTAATGCTAGACATGAAATGAGAGACATTTGTCTTGCTCTTAAGAGCGAGACGGGAGATGAAAATAAAGGAGAAAATGAGGGAAAAGATGATCTACAAAACCAGAAAGAGGCTTCTAGGGTCAGCCATGCAATGTGGGAATATGGTAATAATGATAACAGTGAACATCTGCATAGCATTTGCAGCATACCAGGTGGATGCTGTTATTATTCCCATTTTACAGATGAGCAACTGAGGCACGGAGCAGTTAAGTAACTTGCCCAAAGTCAGGCAACTTGTGAGTGTTGGAGCTGGGCTTCAAGCCCAAACAGTTTGGCTCCGGAGATCTTTACTGCTTCTGGTAACTTCCAGAATGCTGTGTGTGACTGTTTTTGGATGTCTGAAGAGGAGGTGAGTTTCGGGCTGAGGATGATGTGGGGGCGGGCAAAGGAAGCAGAGGAAAGTGCAGGAGCCTGGAGGCCTAAGTCCCCCAGATCTTCAGAAATCTTCAGAATGGAAATGAGAGGTTGAGGCAAGGCCATGAACATCTCACGAAGGCTCAGAGATCTGGCTTACACTGACTCATGCTGATAATACAGATGCCTCCACCTTTTGAAAGTTCGCCTTACACCGCTTTGCTTTTAAAAAAGACCTACATTAGAACCTATTTTCCCGAATCTAGAGAAATCCGAAGACTTTCGTTTTTACATAAAAAGGCGAAAAGGGAAAACAGCATTCTTTGCGGGGTTTGCAGCCAGCCAGCGGTCGAGAAGCGGCGCGCACGCCGGGCCGCGAGAGTGGCGCCCCCAGCGCCTTCCCCGGGAATCACACCCAGCCTCTCAAGGTGGAGCCCCCGAGCTCTGCGGGCGTCCGGGGGCGCCTGGGCTTGGCCTCCATCTACTGCGCGCGTCCGTGCGCATCAGGAAAGCCTAGGAGAGGTGACTTTGGGCGTCTGGGAACGCTCCAGTGTTTCATTTAAATTAATGGTAATCGCTTCTTCGCTTTTCGCCATTTGACTTAGGAAGTGTGTCATACGAACGCCCTGCCTTCGGAGAGCTGAAAACCTGTCCTGCAGTCTACAGCCACCAGGCTCCTGTCATATGCTAGCCACTTTCCATTTAATAGCTCATCACATCCACGCACCGCCCCTATGAGGTAGGGGCAATGGTGACTCCATTTTCTAGAAAAGGAAACTGAGACCGACAGTGACCCCCCACCCCCACCCCAGGTCTCCCAGCTAGCGGGTGGCAGAGCCAGGATAGTCACCCTGGCCTGCGTGCCTCCAGACCCGTGGGCCCCATCTTGCCCCTGGTCTCCACGTGTGGACCCTGCCGGTAGCTAGGCCCTCCCAGGGCCGGCTGGCTGTTTACCTAACAGCAGAGCCTGCTGAGCCTGCATCCTCTCGAGCTCCCCTTGGAGCTCCTGCTGGGCCTTTTCTTCCAAGGCCTGGAGCTCCAGCCGGTGTGCCTGGTGCTGGATCTGGAGGCTGTGGCTGGATTCCTTCCTCAAGCGCTCCTCTGTGGCCTGTGGGTGAAAGTGGGAGAGAGTGGGCATGGAGGAAGACCTGTCCCCTCTGCCAAGTTCCCCCTCTGCGCCAGGGCCAGCTTAGCACTCACCACTCCTCAGTGGAGGGCTTATTAGGCTACTGAGAATGACCTGTCTGAGATGATGGTGATGGCTTGGCCCCAGCAGCCATTTTGTACCATGTGAACCTAACCCCAATCCACAGCTGATTAGACCAGAGTGGACACTGGTCCAAGCTGAGCCAGTCATTGGGAATTTGATGTTAGGAGGCCAGGGAGAGAGAGAGCAGGAAAGAGACGGACAGACAGACAGACACTGACTGGTTGGCTCCAGTTTTAACACACTCAGGAGGAGTGAGGTGATCATCTTACACCTGCCCCAGGACCAGAGAGGTGGAGAGAACTGTCTGTGAGGAGCAGAACAGGAATGACAGAAGAAGGGGTCCCTACAGCTTTTTCAGTCTCTGGTCTAGTCTGGCCCCCAGAACTGGCTGTGTCTTTGCCCTTAGGTTCACTTATTATTCTTTTCTTACTTCATTTATGATTATTTCATTCAGTCAGTCATTCTTTTTTGCAACATCCATTTATTGAAGGTCTCTTATATGTCAAACACCCAAAGCGGGTTCTATGAGCAGCTGTGTAAACTTTAATAGAAATTTCTTCACTGCCTAAGCTAGCTCAAGTTGGTTTCTGGGGGTCAAAACAATAATGGTCCCCAAGATGTCCGTGTGGGAATCCCTGGGACCTGTGAATATGTTACTTTCCTTGGTAAAAGGAGTTTTGTGGGTGTAATTAAGTTAAGAATCCTGAAATGGGAGATTATCCTAAATTATCTGGGCGGTTCAATGTAGTCACAGAGGTCCTTATAAGAGGGAGGCAGGACAGCCAGTTGGAGGCGAGGTGCTGATGGAAGCATGGTGGAAGGGAGGAGGAGTAGGGAGGGTGCTGGGGAGAGGGAGAGGAAGAGAGAGGGCTATCTGAAGATGTTACATGCTACACTCTTGGCTTCAATGATGCAGGAAGGGGCCAGGAGCCAAGGAATGCAGGCAGCCTCTAGAAGCCAGAAAAGGCAAGAAAACAGATCCACCCCTTGAGCTTTTAGAAGGAACCCTGTCCTGCCAACACCTTGACTTTAGGACTTCTGCCTCCAGAACCGTCAGATAATAAATCTGTGATGTGTTCAGTCACCAAGTTTGTGGTATTTTGTTAGAGTGCCAATAGGGAACTAATACAGTTTCCGGGCAAAGAGTTCCAGTTAAGACCGAGCCCATCTTGGGGCACCTGGGTGGTTTAATGGGTTAAGTGTCTGACTCTTGCTTTCTGCTCAGATCATGATCTCAGGGTTGAGAGATCAAACCCTACTTTAGGCTCAGCACTCAGTGTGGCGGGTGCTTCTTAGGATTCTCTCTCTCTCCTTCTCTCTCTGGACCTTCCCCCACCCCTGCCCTGTGTGCATGCACACACTCTCTCTCAATAAAATAAAATAAATAAATAATAAAAATAAATTAAAAAGACACAGCCCATCTTTTAGATGAGGAAATTGAGGCTGGGGGAGATGAACTAGTTTTCCCAAGGTCACACAGGAAAGATGAAGGAAGCATCATCTCCCTCCCTCTTTTTACCAGCCAGCTGCAGGGAAGTGAGCTGACTGAAGACAGGTAAAGGTGGGGGCAGGATTGCAACCCTGGGCAGCGGGGTCGTGGGCCCAAGCGCTCTCCACTCCCCATGCAGCCTCTGGGAACAATGAGAAATGGGGTTTCACCAAAGGCAGGAGGCTCCAGTTGGGGAGCACTGAGCACCCCCCTGCCCCAAACCCCAGAGAGCTAACTGAACACAGTGATGCTTTTAGATGCTTACTTGCACCTTTGACTCTACTGCTCCCTAAAAACTGGAATCCGTTTTACTCCTCCCATGGGAAACTCAGTCAAACTGTGCTGGGTTTATTTCATCAGACAGAAGAGCCTCCTCCTTTTCAGACTCTCCAATATTTCTTCCTCTTGTGCTTGCTGCAAGGCTCGGAGAACTCCAGGTGGTGACATTTTTATCCCAAGGGAAATGGGAATGAAGCGGTCCGAGCTAAGGTTTTACAGAAGATGGGGCCAAACTCTCTCAACCGGCCCCTCAGTCCCTGGGGACAGCATAAGATTCAGATCAGCACTGCCTGCTTTCTCACCCAGCAGCCCCTAGTAGTGAGGACTATGCAAAGTTGAGCACCCAGGGTTTACATCAAACCAGACATGCATCCCTGGTGAATGGCTCCAGTAAACCTATGGGAGGTTTACTCTGCTTGTGTTGTGGTTGTTTTAAAGCCTCCTAAAAGGCCCAGGTTCACCGTGTCTCTCTTCAAAGGTAATGACACCAATTACAATGTAGGTGTGTGTGGGGGGGGGCTGGGAGGAGGATTCCCAACACCAACAAGCAATGCTTGGACACCAGCTGAGTGTCCTACAGTTCAGCTCAATCCTGACACTGCCTGGAGAGAGCATCCCACAGCGTGAGAGCTCAGTCCCACAAGACTGCCCTCCGTCTCAGATGCCAACTGCAAGACTAGGTCGTTACCTGTGCTTCTGACCAACTGGCTTTAAGTCAGAGGGTCCCATGACCCCTCAATTGATTTGTTAGAGTGGCTCACGGAACTCAGGAAACCCGTTTACTTACTATGTTATCGATTTGTGACAAAGGATATTAAAGGATATGAATCAACGGCCAGATGAAGAGATATGCAGGAAGAGGTCACAGGAGCTTTTGTCCCCGTGGAATTGGGGCATGTCACCCTTGTGGTGTGTGGCGGTGCCCACCTGCAAGTTCTCTGAGGCCTCTGCTTAGGGGTTTCTAAGAGGCTTCATTACCTAAACATGATTAATTAGATCATTGGCCATTGGTGATTGAGGCATCTCCAGCCCCTCTCCCCTCCCCAGAGGTCAGGGATGGGACTGAAAGTTTCAACCCTCAAATCATAAGGTTGGTTCCCCTGGCAATCAGCCCCCTCATCCTCAGGTGGGGTCCCAAAGCCACCTCATTAACATAACAAAAGACACTTTGGCTGCTCTCATCACTTAGGAAATTCCAAGAGTTTTAGGAGCCCTGTGTCAGAAATGAGACTGAGACCAAATAATATTTCTTTTTAGAAATCACAGTATCGCACGCTCCATGCCCCATCCTGGGTAAAGTCTCCTTCCCCTGTGCTCCCCAACTGTCCCCTGTCTGAGTGGTCGCCTTTCCCCCTGGAGGTGCGGTCCAGAAAGACGAGAGTGTGTTCATCATCCTGGTGTCTCTGGAGCTCAGCACCATGGTAACTTGTGGTAGCCGCTCTATAAATGAGTGCGGGATCAACGTGTGAGCAGTAACAGCGCATCTTCTAAAAATGGAGCTCTGCTATGGACTGGATGTTTACGTCCCCCCACCCCCCAAAGTCATATATTGAAACCTGATCCCCCATAGGATGGTATCAGGAATGGGGCTTTTGGGGGGTGATGAGGTCAGGATGGTGGAGTTCTCATGAATCAGTGCTCTTGTACAGGAGGTTCGCGAAAGCTCCCCTGCCCCTTCTTCCACGTGAGGTTATAGAGAGGTGGGTGTCTATGAACTAGGGAGTGAGCTCTCAACAGACACCAGACCAGCTGGTGCTTTGGTCTTGCACCTGCAGCCTCCAGAACGGTGGGGAATAAATTTCTGTTGTTTCCAAGCTGCTCAGTCCGTGGTAATTCTGTTACAGCAGCCTGAATGGACAAAGACAAGCTCTTACTCAGCCACATAGGGTTCTAAGTACTTTACATGTATTATCTCTTTTGATGCTCTCAATAGTCCTATTAGCTATTATCTTATAAATGAGGAATCTGAGGCACAAAGAAGCTGAGTGATTGCCTGAGCCCACACCTTATAAGTGGCAGACCCAGGATTTGAACCCACGCATCCCACTCCTCCTCACTATCCTGTACGAGGATGACTATACATCTATTTCTAATTAGAATTGGAACTTGATTCTTTGGTGTCACTTTGGAATCATCAGACCTGAGCCAGCAACAAGGATCCCCTGAATCTGTAGGGTCTCCAGGGACTGGAGCTAAGACCTGCAAGGTATCCGGGATGGGCAGAGCACTCTCCCCCTCTCCCGTGGCCAGAGCTCACATGCTCCTTCCTCCCACCCAGGGAAGCCCCTCGAACTCCACCCCCACAGGTGGGCCACGTCTCCCTGCTTCCTCTGCCTTGGGTCTGGGATCCAGGTCTGCAGCCCGGATGGGTAAAGCTCAGGAGAACACAAAGGCCAGCATTACCCACCACCTAGCAACCTGGGATCTCATCAACCAGAGCTGTTGTAAATTGCAAGCCAAATTGGAAAAAGATTTAAGAGAATAAAAGAAGAAAGAGAACTCATATTTTTGAATACCTATTAAACACCAAGTAGTCCACATGCATTATTTCATTTCTTTTTTTCTTTTTTTTTCCCTAAAGCTTATTGTATATGTTTATCAGGGCAATGCATGCATATAGTATAAAGGGCTAAATAGTATTAAAAGAGAGGAAAACAGCACCTAGGAGCCCTCCTTTTCCCTCTCTCTGCACTCTGTTCTCTGGAAGCAGACACTAACAAGGCTTCCAGTTGTTTCTTCTGGTATTTGCCACCAGTAACAGGCTAGAATTCTGCTGTCTTGGTTATTTTCTTTTCTTTTCTTTTTTTTTTTAAAGATTTTATTTATTTATTTATTTGAGAGAGAGAATGAGAGAGAGAGAGAGAGCGCACATGAGAGGGGGGAGGGTCAGAGGGAGAAGCAGATTCCCTGCTGAGCAGGGAGCCCAATGTGGGACTCAATCCCGGGACTCCAGGATCATGACCTGAGCCAAAGGCAGTCGCTCAACCAACTGAGCCACCCAGGCACCCCTGTCTTGGTTATTTTCAAGATTGAGAATTATCTTCCCATCTGGGTAGATGAGGATTTTAGGTCTCATACACTCTCCCCCTTCCACTCCTCACATATCATTATATTACTTTTTTAATATAGTGAAATATATTCAACATTTTTGTTATTATGAGTACATATACTTCACTCCTGAGCAAAATAGACTATTATGATTAATGCCTACCCATACAACTTTTTGTTTTTCCTTGCATTAATAACTTGCTGCAGTTTTTTAAAGATTTGCTTAGCTTTCTTTGAATATTTGGCTAAGTCTTCCTACAACATCTAAAAGCTTTGTAAAACATTTGTGTGTAAGTGTGTGTGTGTGTGTGAAACACTTTCAGTGCAACTTTCCACATGGCCAAATGGATCAGAGAATCCAACAGTTTTATTTTCCCCTAGAGCTGCTCTTCTGAGACCTCAGTCCTCTTGTTCCAGCCTGGACTGAGCTGTTGTCTCGGCCAGTGGCATAGCTGGACTCCTTCCTTTTCCTTCTCCTTCCCTGGATTCCTCTATCCTAGATCCCTTTTATTCCCGCATCCTTGGCTTGCTCCCTTGTTTGGGTGGGGCGCTCTTCAAGGAACTTCCTAAGGAAAAGCACCTGGAAGACATACCAGTCTGGGTCCAACAGGAGACAGAAACCACACAGTAATTTAAGTAGGAGCTCAATATAAAAAGTTACTGCGCTATGACAGGAGAGTAACTCTAGAGTAACTCTAGAGAACTCCAGGGTGTCCTGAGGCTGGGAGAGAGCACCCAAGACGAGGACAACCTGGAAGGGGGGAACCCTTCCCCAGTTTGGGATCCAGACCTTGTCGGAGAAGGTATGGTGGTAGCTCACTGGTGGAGAAGCTCCCTGGGCTGCCCTGGCCAACGCTGGTCCACAGTTACTGCTCGAGCAGGAACAACCCTCCGCGGTACAGATGAGCCACAGGTGGGTGATGCTCAGAGGCAATGGGGGCGCCCATGCAGGTGTGAGGGCCAGAGCAGACGACGGTATTGGTCTCAGGAGGCTTGCAGGAAACAAATCTCTGGGCTGCAGGCAACGGTGGCCAATGGGCAGGATCCCAGGGAGAGTCAGGGTGAGCCGTGCCGGCCACAGGAAAACAGTCACTGGGTCTGGGCCAGGGTCGTGGGGGGTTGTGGGGTCACTGTGATGTTACTGGGGCAGAGGAGCACCGGATGTCCTCACACAGCCATGTCACTGTTCACCTGCGCAACTGAAGCCAGAAACAAAGCAAAAACACAGCCACCAGAACCCGGAAGAGAAGCAGCCTCTTTCCTCCTACAAGGTGCCTCCAGCTCCCTCTATTGACGAAGCTTAACATTGTGCTCCCTGCGAAGGAGCAATGCTTCAGGAATCTGGGTCATCATTACTGCCCGGCAGGCACGGAAGAGTGACTTGGGAGGTGAGAGGCAGTAAATTGAGAACAGAAGGCAAATTTCCTAATATTTCATATGCCGGTCGATATTTGTATTCAGTTCTTGCACTGAGGAATAGTTGCAGTGGAATTTCTCAGAATTACGCATTGGCTTCCAGTATCATATTGCTGCCCAAGAGGTGTCCCATGACATTCTGATTCAAGTACTTTGTGTCTGGAATCACTTTTCCTCATTGGGAGCTTTTGGAATTTCTTCTGTTTCCTTGGTGTCCTGAAATTTCAAGCTGAGCTTTGGTAGGTGTCTTTCTCATGTAGTAAGGATTTCATTATTTCTTTGAAAATACCCTCCCCTCCATTATCTCTTTCTGGAACTCCCAATTGTTCAATATGAGCCTCCCAGGCATGTCTTTACTCTTCTTGTTCCTTCTCTCCCGCCACCCATTTCACTGTCTTTTTATTTTTGCTTTCTGGAAGGTTTCTTCATTTTTTACATTTCAACTCATTTCCTGATTTTTAGAAATCCTGTGATCATATTTTTTTATCTAAAGAGCTCTTCCTTACGCTAATTGCCCCTCCTTTACAAATAGCATGTTGTTCTTCTTTCATGGATGCAAACATCATCTTTTAATTCTGAGGAGATCAATTCTCATCGAAGCTCTTTTTCTGCTGACTGCATTAGCCATTTCCTCTGAGGCTGTTCTTTCCCTCAGTTATCTTGGATTCCAACTTCCATGTAAGAGGCTTCCATAAAAAGTTTAGTAATCTTTTGCTGCACTTTCATATTGAAGATGGAGCACTGAGGGCTACTTGAAAGGGGGTCCGTTGTGTGCCATGCTCCTCTGGAGGATGACCAGATGGCCAACCCTCAATTTTACTGGAAGCCCACAAATGTGAGAATCTACAGGCCTTTTCTCTAGGATGGTTTAATTTCCCCAGAGAAGGTTCTCCAGTCTCCTATGTAGGGAGTCTAAGTCTAGCTGCTTGCCTTCTGGAGCTGAGCAGGAGAATGCACTTCTGGGGACCAGACAGAGGTGACCGTGGTCCACCGAATAGCTCAGTATACAAATTTTCACCTGAACCTGTTCTCAGACCCAAGCCTCATCCCAGCCTCTGTGAATCATATTTCCAAATTCAGAGTCTCTCTGGCTCAGTTAACCCAGCAATTTCCTCCCAACATCTCTTGTCTTTAAATAAGGGACAGCTAATTGCTTGCCTGTGCTGGCTGAGCTGGGAATCTGAAGTTCTAGGTCAATCATATTCCTCATCTCACTCTTGCCTCCATGATAACTGTTACCTCTAATCCCTGAGCCTTTCTGAGCTCTGCCATGGAATCTGCTTGGTTCTTGTTCTTCTTGCTCTGCAGGCACTTTGGTTCGAGCTTCTCCACTCTGCAAGGCCACATACTATTTCCCCATTTCTGTCCTGTCCTCATGTAGCGTGGCTTAAGGGCAGAGAGGCCTCCTGCCTTATCTGGAATAGGAGTATACTTCTGCTTTGTGTTTTCCTTATTGTTTCCTGGGTGGTTTCCAGTAGGAAAGGATTCAAAAGCCTTTATTCTGCCACCTTAAACCAGAAATCCATTTTTTCCATTTATTCATGGACATCTCAAAGAGGCAGGTATCAATATCCCCAGTGTACAAAAGGGGAAATTAAACTTGCGGCTGTAATTCAGTGAGACCATTTTCTTTCTTTTTTTTTTATTATTTTTTTATTTTTATTTTTTTTATATATTATTTATTTATTTATTTGAGAGAGAGCGAGCATGAGAGGGGGGAGGGTCAGAGGGAGAAGCAGACTCCCCGCCGAGCAGGGAGCCCGATGCGGGACTCGATCCCGGGACTCCAGGATCATGACCTGAGCCGAAGGCAGTCGCTTAACCAACTGAGCCACCCAGGCGCCCCAGTGAGACCATTTTCTAAGCAGCTATCCTGAACTAGGAGGAGATTCAGGGTCCGAACAAACACAGATCGTTCTTGGCCCCAAGCAGGTTCACGTGGTAGATCTGATCATATAAGGAAGTCATTAGTTAGAGCGTGAAGACTACCATGACCAAGGAAGACAGTGTGTTGTCTGTGACAGTCGTAGTGGGAGCCCCAGCTCCTGAGAGAGGAGGAGTGAAGGTCTTCTGGGAATGTAGAAGGTAGGAGATGGATGAAACATGCTCCTGCCGGATTACACGTCGTTGTGCCCCTGACCACCTCATCTCAACTTTCCAAGCTGCGCTGTCTGTTTTCATCTCCCAGGTGAGTCTGACTTCCCAGCATGCATCATGCCTTACACTGCCCAACTCATAAAGAAGGTTGTTCTTATGTTATCAAGGTCACATGCAAATAGGGAGAAGCAGTACTAGAAGCCTAACAGACCTAAGCACGAATCCTTCCTTGGCCACTTATTAGATGTGTGACCCTGAGCAAGTTACTGAATCTCTCTGAGCCTTTTTCCTCATCTGGAAGAAGGGAATGTGATAATAATGACCCCGTAAGATTCCCGTGGGGACTAGAGATCCTGTACAAAAGGCACCCCCTCTAGTGCAACACAGGTGCTTGCATGGCAAATGCTCAGGAAATAGTGGGCTTCATAATTCTCCCCCTTACCTTGAGTTCTTGATTTTTGGCCTTCTCAAGCGTGCACAGGGCCCGCTGGTGGGAGGCCTCGAGCTGGGCTTTCACGGCCTGGTTCTGCTGAATGGTCTCCTGGAGCTCGTGCTGCAGCTTCTCCCTTTCGTGGTCGGAGAGTTGCTTGAGCTCCTGCAGGTCCTCCCTGTAGCTGTTGGCGCACTGCTCCAGAGCCTGCTGCATCTGTGAGACCTGCCCCCCACGGCATCCTGCCCTCAGGCTGCGCCCTCTCCCCTCCCCCTTCCCTTCCTGGGGGGCTTGAAAACAAGTAAGTGCTCTGAACATCTCCTCAACCCAGCCAAGCCTCCTCTATCTGTGGGAACTCTGAGGGGGGAGGGCTGGAAACTTGAAAAACCTGGATGGCCGGTCTTCTGAGGTCTTCTCAGCTAGAGCCATGAATGCCAGGTGAGAGGGGCAGGAGGGTTGGGATGCAAGCCATCCAAGACACATTGAAGAGGGGACCACTAAGTCTTCCCTGACAACCCCATTGAGTATTACACCCACTCCCCATCACCAGACAGCCTCTCAATCCTTTTGACCTTGTTCTGTTTTTTTCTTTTTCCTGAAATCTGATCATCCTCTAATATACTATGTGCTTTACTTATTTCTCATGTCTAGTATTTCGGGTCTGTTCCCACTTCCTCTGCTATAATATAATGTAAGCACTGTAATGCAGGACTTTGCTTTGGTTTGTTCATTGATGTATCCCAAGAAGGTTCCTGGCTCATAGGAGGTGCGCATGAGCCACAGGAAGTATTAAATAAATGAATGAATATATAGAACTAAGAATCCCACCTTGCCCTGACCTGGAATGCCCTCCCCAGCCTGGACACGAATCAGGCCCTGTATGTATTCCAGTGTTGTCTGGAAAGAGGAGGAGGAGGCTGGGTTCCACCCAGCATGAGGGCACCTCCCCACCACGGCTGTCCTACCTGGGCCTGCAATCTGGCCTTCTGGCTTTGCCACTCCTCCTGCAGACGCTGGATTTCAGGTGCCTTCTCCTTCAGCAAAAAGTTCAATGGAGGTTGCAGGTCACCTCCCTCCTTGAGGGGCACTTCAATCCTTTGAAGATAGAGAGGCCAAAATCACAAAAGATCCAGGGCCGGGACCGACATGAGAGGGGAGCTCCCATGGCAGGGAGCGGGGTGAGAAGTGTCTTCCTTGGATTTAAGAAAGTAACCTGACACACAGCTCTAAGTGTTACTGCACCTGGGATACAATCAGGATTCAGCTGGAGCCCAATGGTTTTGGTGGATGCTTAATAAACGACTGGCTGTTAGAATGACTGAGAGCTTGGAGTTACTTATGGGGCCCTTGGGGGCCCTGAAAAAGAGGCCTCTCTGGTCTAATTTCATAACTCTTCCAGCAGATGAAAAAAAAATAATGAAATAATAATGTTTTACTTTAATACAGTACTTGACACTTTTCAAAGCAGGCTCATGCCTTTCTTTGACCGGCTGTCCCAGGAATACACAACAGGATCGCACACAGCCTTTACGGAGATAGCACAAACGAGAAGATGCTGGTTTAAAGCTGCAGTAGTTTCTGTATTCAGGACAGATGCTCATGGAGGCCTTTAGAGGAGACCCTCTCTTACTTAATGCTGAACTTTCGAACCAGCTGAGAAATTCAAAAATAACTGGTTGAGATGGGGATTTTAAGTATTTGCTCCGTGTAGAGATGTAAAAGGATGCCACGCAGTGGGCATCTCTGCAGAGATTGCCGGAACGTCCGTGGCGTTTTCTTCCTATGCTTAACTATTTTTTTTTTTAAGATTTATTTATTTATTTGAGAGAGAGAGAGATTAAGAGCATGTGCGGTGGGGGGAGGGGCAGAGGGAGAAGGAGAGGGAAACTCAAGCTGACTGCACGCTGAGCACGGAGCCCAGGGCAAGGCTCAATCTCACGATGGTGCGATACATCCTGAGCCAAAACCAAGAGTCAGACGCATAACTGTGCCGCCCAGTGCCCCAGTGTATGCTTAACTTTTTACAAAACCATCAAATGGTTTTCTGAGGCGGTTGCACCATGTTGCGCTCCCACCAGCAATGTATGAGAGTTTCAGTTGCTCCACATCATCGCCAACATTTTGTGTTTTTAGTACTCTTAATTTTAGTCTTTCAGAGGGGTAGGAAATGGTATCTCTGTAATTTTAAGTTGCATTTCCCTGTTGACTCTGATGTGAAGTGCGTATTCATGTCCTTATGTGCCATTCATTATTTTTTTGCAAGTGTGTTCAAGCATTTTGTCCATTTAAAACTATATTTGTCTTTTCTATTATTGGTTTATAACAATTCTTTATATACTGTGGATAGAGACTGGATAACTTCTCCCAGACTGTGACTTGTCTATTCATTTTCTTAGTAGTATTTTTTTATAATGTTTTATTTATTTATTCATGAGAGTCAGAGAGAGAGAGAGAGGCAGAGGCAGAGGGAGAAGCAGGCCTCCCACCAAGCAAGGAGCCCGATGCGGGACTCGATCCCAGGACCCCGGGATCATGACCTGAGCTGAAGGCAGACGCTTAACCATCTGAGCCACCCAGGCGCCCCAGTAGTATTTTTTTTTTTAAAGATTTTTATTTATTTTTTGAGAGAGAGAGAGCACATGAGAGGGGGGAGGGTCAGAGGGAGAAGCAGACCCCCTGCCGAGCAGGGAGCCCAATGCGGGACTCGATCCAGGGACTCCAGGATCATGACCTGAGCCGAAGGCAGTCACCCAACCAACTGAGCCACCCAGGCACCCCAGTAATATTTTTTTTAATGAGCAGATATTTTAATTTTGATGAAGACCGATTTATCAACTTTTTTCTTGGATGATTAGTGCTTTCATGTCCTAAAAAATCACTGTTTACCCCCAAATTGCAAAGAGGCTCTGCTATGCTTTATAGTTTTACAGTATATATTTAAGTTAGTTGTTGTACATGGGATGAAGTAAGAGTAGAAATTCATTTTTTTCATATGTTCATACAGTTCCAACACCATTTGTTGAAAAACTTTTCCTATCCCCATTGAATTGCTTGGCACTTCTTTTTTTTTTTTTTTTTTTTTTTTAAGATTTTATTTATTTAACAGAGAGAGACATAGCGAGAGCAGGAACACAAGCAGGGGGGGAAGCCCGATGTGGGACTCGATCCCAGGACCCTGGGATCATGACCTGAGCCAAAGGCAGACGCTTAACGACTGAACCACCCAGGCGCCCTTGCTTGGCACTTCTAACAAAAATGAATCTAACATCTTTGCGTGGGTCTGTTTCTGAACACTCCATTATTTTTCATTGATCGATTTGTCTATCTGCACATTGATACCACATGATCTGTATTATTCTAGCTTCATAATGTCTTGAAATCAGGTAGCCTGAGTCCTCCAACTTTGCTCTTCAAGGTTCTTTTTTTTCTTTTTCTAAGTCCTTTGTTTTTCCACATCAATACTCAAAACAGCTTATTTCTTTCTACAAATAAGGCTGTTAGGATTGTGTTTGGGATTGAACTGAATCCATAGTTCAACTTAGAATAGATTAACATCGTAACAACTTTGAGTATTTCAATCATGATCATTCTGTCTGTAAATAAAGACATTTTTACTCTTTTTTTCTCATTTGTAGCTCTTTTTCTTGCTTTATAGGACAGGCCAGGACAGTGTTAAGTAGTGAGAGCAGAATGTTTGCCTTGTTCCCAATCTTAGGAAGAAAGTGTTCAACATTTCACCAGTAAGTATGTTTGCTGTAGTTTATCATAGATTATCTTTTTCAGGTTGAGAACTTCCTTTCTATTCAAGGATTTTTTTTTTTATCATAAAAGGATGTTAACTTTTTTTGGAATGCTTTTCTGCATCTACTGAGATGATTATTTACTTTTTCTCTTTATTTTTTAAAGTGGTGAATTCACATGAATGCTATTCACATGTTAAACCACCACACATTCCCGGGGAAATCCTACGTGATCATGATGTATTATCCTTTTTATATATCTTTTGATTTGATTTTCAAATATTTTGTGGAGGATTTTGCATTCTTGAGGAATATTCGTTTGTTATTTTCTTTTCTTTTAAATGTCTTCATTGGGTTTTGGTATCAGTTATGCTGATCTCAAAAAACAAATTGAGGGGTATTCTACACTCTTTTTTCTGAAAAAGCTTGTGTAAGATTACTATTATTTCTTCTTTAAAATAGTTGATAAGGGGCGCCTGGGTGGCTCAGTAGGTTAAGCATCCAACTCCCCCAATTTCAGCTCAGGTTATGATCGTAAGGTCCTGGGATGGAGCCCACATCAGGCTCTGCACTCAGCAGGGAGTCTGCTTGGGATTCTCTCTCTCTCTCTCTCTCCCCCTTTGCCCCTCCCCCTGTCATGCTCTCTCTCTCTCTCAAATAAATAAATAAATCTTTGAAAATAACATAATATAGTTGATAAAATTCACTGATGACATCAACTGAGACTGGAGTTCTCCTTTAGAGAATGTTTTGATTAAATATTCATTTTGTCATAGTTATAGATATAATTTTCTGGAACTAATTTTTGGTTTTCTTAATTTTTTATTAGCCTATTTTCTGTTTCATGGAGTTCTGCTCTTATATTCCTTTCTCTTCTTCCTCCTTGGCTCCAACTTACATGCATGTTAGACCATTTGATTTCTTCCCATGTGTCACTGAGGATCTCTCCATTAAATTTTTTTTCCCTTCATTCTCTGGATAAGACAGTTTCTGTTAATCTGTCTTCAAGTGATTATTTTTTCTTCCATGGTCTCCAGTTTGCTATTAAACACACCAATGAGACTTCCATTTTGAATACTGTACTTTACAATTTCAGAATTTCCCTTTGTTTCAAGGTTTTTGTTTCTCTGCTGAATTCCCTATATGTTCACTGATTATAACCGTCTCTCCTTTATGTCCTTGAACATAGCTCTTATAATTGTTCCAAAGTCCTTGTCTGCTAATTCCAACATCAAGGTCATTTGAGGGTTTGTTTCTATTGGCTGATATTCTTTCTTGATTACAGGTCACATTTTTCTGCTTCTTTGCATTCTCATGATGTTTTCATTGTATGATGCATATTGTGGATAATATAATATAATATAGGTGGATAATAGAGAGTCTAGATTATGGTTGATTTTTATTCTGCCAAGCATCTAAACTACAGAAGGCCTTTTCTGATCCTTTCGGGTTTGAGTTTGTCTTTTGTTAGAGCAGGTGCATTTCAATGTTGTCTTCTGTTCTAGGGTATGGCCTTTAGCCTATAGGATGTGTTTCTTACCCATGAAGTGTGACCTCCTTGAGGTCTCCACTGAAGGCCTGTATTGCCTGGGAAGGTTCCTCTATCCTGGGTGAGCTGGGAACGCACCATCTCCCAGCACAGCACGCCCTCTGGGATTTTTCATTTACTCAGCACCACAGCAGCAACACACATCAAGCCCCATGGAGCATCATCTTGTATGTTCTCTCAAGCCCTTGGCCAAGGACCTATGGCAACTCCTCTTACAGATTTCTGTCCTAGGACCATCTCTTCCAGTACTCTACCTTACACATTCCAGCCACTTTAGCAGCCCTCAGCTCTGGTGTCTGCCTTCTCAGCTCAGCTTGACTCTATCTCCTTTTCTTTTTTTTTTTTTAAAGATTTTATTTATTAATTTGAGACACAGAGATAGAGAGAGAGCATGAGCAGGGGGAGAGGCAGAGGCAGAGGGAGAAGCAGGCTCCCCGCTTAGCCAGGAGCCCGATGCGGGGCTCGATCCCAGGATCCTGGGATCATGACCTGAGCCGAAGGCAGACGCTTAACCATCTGAGCCACCCAGGCACCCCTATTTCCTTTTCTGCAGTGGGCAGCTTCCCCCAGGCAGAAAAGCGGGGGCAAGTGTGGGTGATGGTGGGATTCGACTCATGTTTCCCTTCTCGAGAACACAGTCCTCTGCATGTTGCCCCATTACTCAAGAGTGCATTCATATGTTTTGTCTGGTTTTATAGCTGTTTACAGAAAGAGGAACTCGAGCCAGACTGGAAGCACATTGCTGGAAGTGCAAGCTTCAGTTCTTATTACTGACTATTAAAGGATCAAGTGACACTGGAAAGGTGGAAGACCTGTGGCTCTCCATTTTGCACAACTCAGCTGCCCTAAATTGAGATGTAGCTAAAACTGTGATTCTGGCGTCAAAGACACTCATCCAGTCCTACCATATACTAGCAGTGTAACCTTGGGTAAGTTACTTGATCTCCCTGTTCCTCTGTTTTCTCCATCTTTAAAGCGAGGCACTTCAATAATAGTATCTGCGTATTGAAGATTAAATGGACTAATCGTTTTAATGTTCTTATCACACTTCAGCATTCAATAAATATTTATTATTATTTTCATCACTATCATTACTCCCTGGAACACCACTAATGGGATTTCTCTCTCTGACCCCATTCTACTGCCTCAAATTTCCTCACCTCTTCCTAAGCAGCCAATTTCATCCTGCCACCCATCACTAAGCAGCTGACTTTCCTAATGTCCCCCATCCCTGCCCATTAAAGCTGATCTTAACCTGCTCTTCTGAAGTTGGCCTTGAACACATGGAAAAGCCACATCCCTTTTTAGAGCCACCATGCCAAAAAGTCCAGTGTCCTGACCAGCATTCCCCAGGAGGCTAACCACTAAATATGCAACCCTGCCCCCAAAGAGCCACTGCATTTGTTCTCTTCTACAACTACTGACCTTAGAACTCAGGCAACCTTTCTAGTCCTTCCCTGTCACTGCTTAGCTCTTCTATTCACACCAAAACCCCTGTGGGAGTGACCTCCAGAGCCCCTCCCTTTTTGCTTCTGTAGTTGAGGACAACCCCTTACTGATACAGCCACTGCGGGAGAAAAAGACAAGGCTGTTGTGATCTCCACCTGCCGTTGGTCTGCCCAGCATCCTCTCCCTGGGAAAACTTTTCCTTTTTCCATGTGATTCTTTTTAGTCCACAGAGTTCAGGTGCAGCTCACTCTGCCCTCATCCTCAGACGGGCCCAGGGGAGGATGTGTCACAAATGCTGGCCAGTCAGAGCACTCCATCTTTGTGGCCGGAGTGATTGGCTCAGGGATTGACATGTGACCCAAGCTGGGCACCTTAGAGAAATTTCTGTCATAATTTCAGGAAAAAGACTCTCTCTTTCTCTCTGGAAATGTGAGTTATAAACAGGACAAGGTTTGTGGCTGCCAGTAGTAAGGATTTAACCTGGAGACCTGACTCCAGAGTCTGTCCTCCTTCACTGCTGTTTTTATGTGCCTCATAGATCCTGAGGCAAAATCTTGAGGATTCGGTGGAAGTATTAGTAGCTGGGAGTTCACTGGGCTGTAGGCTGTGGTCTGGTTTAGGGGTATATACCCTGCTTCCCCAAGGCTGTGATCTGAATGTTTATGCCCCCCTCCCCCAATTCATATGTTGAAACCTATTGCTCAATGTAATGATATTAGGAGATGGGGCTGTGGTGATTAGGCCATGAGGGTGGAGTCCTCGTGGTAAGATTAGTGCCCTTACAACAAGAGACATGAAAGAGACCTCTCCCCTACCACCCTTTCTCTTTCCCACCCCCCAACCCCCCTTGCCATGTGCGGACACAGAAAGAGGATGGCCATCTGAAAGCCAGGAGCAGAGTTCTCACCAGGAAATTGAGTGGACCAGCACCTTGTCCTTGGACTTCCCAGCCTCCAGAACTAGGAGAAACAAATTTCTGTTGTTTAGGCCACACAATCTGTGGTATTTTGTTACAGCAGCCAGAGCTGACTACAGGACATGTGGACAGCATATTCTTCTCTGTCCAGTGGTAATTTTGGTCAAGTGACTTGCTTTGGCCAATAGAATATGACTAGAAATGAGAGGATGCAGTTCTGAGTGTAGGCTTTAAGAGTCACTGCATATTTTCATCAGCTCTTTTGAGAGTCTTCTCTTTACCATGACAACAACATGCTCTAGATAGGGGCTAATATCTCAGTCTCAGTCCCAGAATGAGCAAGCATATGGACAGGACTCGAACTTTACCCACAGTTTGGTGGGCAATAACACCTGACCCTCAGGCAGGAGCCAAGATACAGGTAGCTGACCTAGGAGTTAAGAATCGCTGATATTTTGGGAATGTTTATTACAGCAGCAAAAGCTGACTAATATAGATGACAGAGATGGGGCATCTCCCATCAGTGACAAAGCTCCCCCATTTCCCCTAGTTAAAGAAAACTTAGAAGAGATCTGGGGCCAGTCCAGGCCTGAGTTTTGGGCAGGTTTACTAACCTCTTTGAGTTTCAGTTCTTAATCTATAAAATGCCTCTTCTAGGTTGATGTAACAATGGAATAAGATAAGTTGCATTAAGCCCACAGCTGTACTGAGAACATACAAAACACATCTGTTCCCTTCCTAAGTGTGATGCAAGGGGCAGTGATAAACACTTGATGAATGAATGAATGAATGAATGAATGAATGAATGAATGAATGAATCCTTCCAGATCTGAGTCCTCATGCACTGGAGTGCTTGCAAGGCTGCATGTCCTCCTGTACCTTTCTTCTTCATCACTGCTGGTTCCTTCCTCAGCTGCTAACTTATCCTGATACTCTTCTCCTCTGGGCAGGTTCTGAGGTTCATTCAGCTTCAAGCATGGATCCTAAGGCAAAAACAGTTGCAAGGTGAGACTGAGTACACTTCCCTGATTCAACCCAGGCTTATCAAACCAGAGAGCAGAGGAGAAAGAGTCCCCAGCGATCCACAACTGGTGCACAGTCCACAGGCCTGGCATGATAAGGCCTGGGACGATTCAACGTCTAGTACAGTGCCTGGCTTAGGAGCCCGTATCCCTGTATCCTGTCTTCCATTGACCAAGCACTTCACACAGCTGATGAAACTCAAGCACAGAGATGGTAGGTAACCTGTCCAGGGTCCCACCATCAGTGAGTGGTGGAAATGGGACATGCAATCAGGCGGTCTGACCCTGGGGTTGCTATGAGGATCAGAGAACACTGCTAGCAACAGCTACTGGTCCGTGTGAACAACTGCTATTATTACGATGCCCATTTTAAGATGGCAGCCTGTGACATCTCAGGACATAGGATCAGAAAACATGGAACCTACTGAATGACCATACGTGTTGAGAAGCGGGGTGTGGTAGGAGGAGAATATGGAAACCATGAGTGAACACTGAGGCTAGGAGTTTTCTATGAATTGAATTTGTTCATGTTATCATTCTCCCCTTTCCACAGAGACAAAAGGTGAAAAAGACATTCTTCTTTTGATTTGTCTACGTGTTACAGTAACCATTGTCTATGGAACACACTATAATAAGACAGGCTAGGAACAGATGTCTTCACTGGCAAATCTCATTAAATAATGATAAATTGCAGCCTGGAGTTTCCACTAAGTAGTTGCATGGCCTTGAGCCAGTCTCTTCCCTTTTCTGGCCCAGAACTTCATCAACTGTAAAACAAAGGGGTTGGTTACATCTGTGGTTTTCAACGTGTTCTCCAGAGACCTTGGGACATGTCCCTGGGGCCCACAGAGTTCAGAAGGGGCAGAGCTGAGGCTGGAGGATGGGGCATGGGGCTCCCATTCCCTCTCAACCTGGCATGAAATTGTTTTGGTTGCCCTTCCAGGTACTATACTGTCTATTAAAGGTCACCAACGTCAAGGCCAATGATGACTTCCGTGTTGCCAAATCCAGTGGTCACTCCTTGGGCTTTAGCTAACTGAGCCTCCCTACAGGACTGGAAATATCTGGTCACTCCCTCCTGCATGCAGTCTTCTCTCCTGGGTTTCCTCCTCCCTCACCAGCTGCCCCTTCTTAGTCTCTTCTGCTCAAACCACCTGCTCTTCTGCCCCACACTTTAGTCCTTGGACTTCTCTCTCTCACTCTCCATCTCTCTCTCACTAGCGTCTCATATAGTTCTATGAATACTGATGACAAACAAATTTAATCTATTTTCAAGCTTTACTCTGAAGTCTGGACTTGAATATCCAACTGTCCTCCAGATATCACTTGGGTGCTTAATAAGCTTCTCAAACTGCAACATGTCCAGATCTGGACTCTTGGTCTCACCCTCCCCAAACAACAAGCATGCACCTGCCCCAGGGCCTTTGCACTGGCAGTTCCACTGCCTGCAATGCTCTTCATTGTAATATTTGCATGCCTTGCTTCCTCACTTCACTCACCACAACCGAGAGACCTTCCTTGACTTAAATCCTGGGCTCTGGTACCAGACACCTATGTTTAAATCCCAGTTCTTCTTGGGCGCCTGGGTGGCTCAGTCGGTTAAGCGACTGCCTTCGGCTCAGGTCATGATCCTGGAGTCCCGGGATCGAGTCCCGCATCAGGCTCCCTGCTCAGCGGGGAGTCTGTTTCTCCCTCTGACCCTCCCCCCTCTCGTGCTCTCTCTTTCTCATTCTCTCAAATAAATAAAAAAAATCTTAAAAAAAAAAATCCCAGTTCTTCTTCTTCTTAAGGATGTAACTTTGGGAAAATTAGGCTGTCGTGGATTAAATAAACCAATAAATATAAAGTCTTTGAAATAGTATTAGCTACACAGTGACTACTCAAATTAATATTGCCCAGGATTATTGTTCTCTGATCACTTTCTCTAAAATACCAGCCCTCTCTCCTTCTCCCACCTTGCTCTATGTCTTCCTCAAAATACAGATTGTGGCCTAATGTCAATTACGTGTCTCCTCTTTCACTGTTTCCCTCCCTGGAAGGTAAGCTGCATGGGGGCAGGGATTCTACTCTGTTCCTTGCTGTTTCCCTGGTTCCTAGAAACAGTGTGTGGCACATGGAGGACACTCAGTAAACAACACATGAACAAACCCAAACAAATCTCTCAGAGAGCAGGGAGGCCCTTTTCTCCCACACTCACCTCACGCTCCCACTACATCCCATGGCCCAGAGTTGGGTGTTTCCCAGCTCTGCTCAGGTGCCGTTTGTGCCTTGATGAGTCTTAAGTTCCAAGTTCTGTTTGAGTCATTTGTGTTGTCTCTAAATGTAGCAGATACCATGTGATGCTAGAGCCCTCGCTTCCAGAGACAGGGTGGAGATGACATTCAGAAAGTCATCGCCCATCTTGCCCGGGAGGGCCCATGGAAGGGTGCCCAGAGGTGATGGCCCATCAGAGAGTAAGAGTTCCCTCTGCCTCCCACACCCCTCCTATTAAAGCCCTCCTCTTCCCTTCTGGAGCGATGTGTCCTGGGTCAACTTAGCTAAGCCAGAACTACCTTTTCCAGGCTTTCCTTCCCTGCATAATTCTGGACCATGTGACTTTGTGTAAGATCTGGAAGATGGGTGTGCCTTTTTCTTCTCCCGCTTGGATGCTTGCTGCAGGACATCAGGTGCTGTGGCAGCTCATGCGCTTCATCGCCCATCTGCTGGCTCACCTGGTTGGTCTGGGTTGCCTAGGGCTCTCAGCTCCTCCATCTCCCGCTGGACCCTCCATAGGCTTCTCCATTTCCTGGGCCCAGGGCATGTTTAGCTCTATGAGGAAGGATGCTGGATTCTCCTACAGGTCACCTAAATCCTTGGGGCTGGAGGCTCATCGGCTTCAGAAACCAATACCATTCAAGCTCAGCCTCATGGGCTACATTCGTCCTTGGTCTTCCCCATTCCACATCCGTCCTTCTTTGCTTCTGACTGCCCACCCAGGTGTAGGCCCACCGTAGGCCTGACACTGGACGGGGATGCAACAGTTGAATATAGAGTGTTTACCTGACTCCCACAATGATGCCATGTTTTTCTAAAATGAGTCCCGTTTTCTGTATCATTTTTAGTAGTCTGTTTCTCTGACCAAACCCTGTTTCATGCACTCTTTAATCTCTAGATCCTACTAATCCTTCAAAGCCCTACTCAACTGCCACTTCCTCCATGAAGCCTTCACAACTCTTCTGTTGCAATTATACTCTCTGCTCTTAAAGGTCCCATAACAATTATTTTTTTGCTACTGTAATTTGCTCACAAATATTTTTTGGCATTTACTATATGCCAGGCACTGTTCCAGAGACTCAGCAATCAATAAAACAGATGAAAGTTTTTTTCTGCTTTGTATTAGTCATTAGTCATTAGTCTCTTTCTCCCTTTCTGGAAGGTAAAAGTAATCCCAGGTATGGTTTTTAAAATGTTATAAATCCTCCAGCAGTTGGGCGCCTGGGTGGCTCAGTTGGTTAAGCGACTGCCTTCGGCTCAGGTCATGATACTGGAGTCCCTGGATCGAGTCCCGCATCGGGCTCCCTGCTCGGCAGGGAGCCTGCTTCTGCCTCTGACCCTCCCCCCTCTCATGTGCTCTCTCTCTCATTCTCTCTGTCTCAAATAAATAAATAAAATCTTTAAAAAAATAAAAAATAAATAAAATAAAAAAAAATAAATCCTCCAGCAGTAATTCAGATCAGGCTGCACGGTCATTTTCCTTTGCCTGAATCCTTTCTCTTTAGTGTGTATAACTGGGTACTAAAATCCAGCCGGCTGACATGCTATTCATTGCAGGGCCCAGTGAGTTTGGTTCATTGCTGTGTACTTTCAAAAATGATGTCATTGACCAGCTTGCAATCTCCATGTGGACCGTAAGCTAAAAGGCCCACCTTTGCCTCCCACTTTCAGGTATCTGGGGCATTCAAAATATCTTGGATAACTCCCAATTCCTATAAAGCCCAGAAGTAGATATCACAGTCTAAGCAAAACAGCTTTGTGAGACACCTGTTATAAATACACGTTCCGGATAATCCAGGGAAAATGGCACGGTGAATGCGGAACAACAGCAACGAATCAAAATAGCATAATAAATACTACAATATAAATACATATGTAATTATTAAAATTAATTGGTCCAGGTTTCTAAAGGGAAATCAGAGGTTATAAAGAAGTATTGGTAAATAGAAAGCACAAAATATGTTGGCAAAACAACCCTAAGGGTATCAGTAATCATGACAAACATGATCTGGCTAAGTTCAACACATTATTTATCCTGATAAAAGGAATCATTCACTAAAACTAATAATGAACCTGTAGGCATCTAACAATAAAGCCCAAAAACTAGGCAAAATGTTCAGAACTGTAAGGAGAAATGGGTAAATTTACAACTGTAATGGAGAATTTAATAGCCACCTCTCAGAACTGATATATTAAGTAAACAAAATGAGCTAAGATGTAGAAGATTTGAACAAGATACATCACTAATGATGTATTGTATGGTGACCAACATAACACAATAAAATAAAATAAAATTTAAAAAATAAAAATAAAAATAAATAAGCTAAACCTAACAACTAAAAAATAAATACTAATCAGTGCTAACATTTATATGGTGCTAAGTGTTCCCAGGCCCTCAACTCTATGAGATGGGCAGTATCATACCATTTTAAAGGGGACAAAACTGAGGCAGGAGAAGATATGCAAGTTCTCTAAGATTATACGATGAATGTATCACAAAGCTGTAATTCAAATATACAGTCGACCCCTGCACAACATAGATCTGAACTGCGAGGGTCAACTTATCTGTGGATTTTTTTCTCAGTAAATACAGTACAGTATTATAAATGTATTTTCTCTTCCTTATGATTTTTAAAATATTTTCTTTTCTCTAGCTTACTTTAAAATATGTGTTAATTGACTATGTTATCGGTAAAGCTTCTTGGTCAACAGTAGGTCATTAGTAGTTAAGTTTTTGGGGAGTCAAAAGTTACATGTAGATTTTTAATTATGCAGGGAGTTCGTACCCCTAATACTAGCATTGTCCAAAGGTCAATTATATACTTAAATGACCAAACTGAGAATATAGGTTTTTTTCTATCACACAGGGAACATTTGAAAATGGCCCCACAGGGGTGCCTGGGTGGCTCAGTCAGTTAAACATCTGACTTCATTCAGGTCATGATCTTGGATCATAGTTGTTGGGCTCCCAGCTCAGCAAGCAGTCTGCTTGTCCCTCTCCCTCTGCTCCTCCCCCTGCTCATGCTCATGCTCTCTCTCTTTCTCAAATAAATAAATAAAAATCTTAAAAAGAAAATGACCCCACAGAAGTCTACAAGTAAATCTCACCACCGTTCCAGATGTTGACATTCTACAGATGATGTGACTGATGATGACAATGCAATAAAATTAGAAAGCAAAAAGAAAGTAGGTTTAAAAAAGTAAACTCTGGGATACAGCTAAAGACATACACTTAGAGGGAAATTCACAGCCTTCACTGTATTTATTAGAAAACATTCAAGAAGTTAGAAAAAGCATAAGAGAATAAACCCCAAGTAAGCAGAAGGAAAGAGATACAAAAGACAAAATTAATGACATAGAAAAGAAGAGATCCGCACAACGCATCTGAAAGCTGGCTTTTTGAAAAGACACATGGAGCCTGATCAAGGAAAAGAGGAGAAGGAACTTGAAGCAATATGAATAATGGACAAATAGCTCACGAAAGTTATCATAGAGAGGAAAAAGAATTTCAAATGTACTCTGAGCCACTGTGAGGGCCGTGAAAGGAAACGCGCAGGATGTAATTTCTGGGCCACCTTATCAACAACTGATACATTTAAAGGCATCCTGGGCAGGAGTCCAGAAACAGGAGAGGGTGGAAGACGCTATAAAAAACTGATGATGCACCGGGATGACTACATCGGCTCCCAGCTGCATCCCATTTTTCTATTTCCATACATTGACGGATGGGTGCCCAGGACTCTGTAAGGTGGGCAGGAAAGACACTACCGTCCTTGGGTTACAGATGAGATGTGAGATCAGAGAAGTAGTCCAGCGACTTGCTTCAGGTCACATGGCCACTGGAGGGTGGCATGAGGACTGGACCCCTGGGTTGTCCCGCTGCCTGCCCTGTGATTCCATGTGACCACAGTGGTACTCGCCACCGCCATGTTGGCAAGATCCCCAGATGCCAGCATCGGGACTTAACTGGGCGTGAGTTTAAACCATGTTGTACAAACGTGCTGTAAGAAATATCTGTGAGACAGACAAGATCAACCCGAGAGACGAAGGTTGTTTTCCTAAT